TGAAACCTTTTCCAAAAAGAACCCCAATAGAAATATTTGTCAGGACTATAAATAGTTAACCATGCAATTGTCATATATCATAGTACTTACTTACTGAACTATTTATCAAAGTGGTTATTTACATTCTTTTCTCCTACAAACACTATAGATTTACTTACCCTAGACTGATTCGATAAACTTCCTCGGAATAGCTATATTAGTGGGTAAAAACGGGGACGTCATTTCCTTGGTCAATCTTTTAAATATGACGTCACATAACAATGCTTTGTTAACTTACCATCGTTTGTAGGGAAACCTCTATTTATATAACTTTCTCCTTAATTCATTAATAATGTCAAGCATGTTGTTTCAATCTGTCGTTGTGATTCGGCCTTCTTTTTGTATAAATGACCTTATGAAAACATACCGATAATAAAGGTTGAACTTTATTTCTGAATTGGAGTTTTTTATGACCGCTGTCTCAGAGACAAATGCAAAAAACAAAAGTCAACCTGACAAAGCATTTCGAGTAAGCGGCGTTAAGTCAGTAATTTTAAATGATGAACAAGCTCACAACACTGGATTTAGAGATATGAAGATTGATGAAAACAATGGACATCTAGTGATAACCGATGTCCATTTTGAGGATCGCTTGTTATGTTTACGGACACTTTAAATAAAAATATTATTTACCATTACTGCAATACAGCTCAAGTGCTTTATTTTAATAAAATCAAACCGCACATACGAATAACTGATAAGGACCATATAAGTATTTCGTTTCAGCTTTGATTTCCTCAGGAAGATCGTGACTGGTGTATTTTATTTTTTTTTCAAGGTGCACTCTGCCTGCCTAAGAAAACAGTACATGTGGGCGGATATGTGCAAAACGAAACAAATTATGTGACGTCATCAACAGTAAATGAGGGCGGAGTTAACCATGGCTAATGCAAATTTCAGCCTATTATACTTACTAAACTGATCACAAGTTATGAAACTTATGAACTTATGTAATATTTTTTATGTACGCTGTAATGGACTGTAAATATAATGACAAGTTTTCTGTTTTGGTCAGGATATAAAGTGTAAGCTCCAGTTCAGCACGAGTAATAGATTGCTCCGCATTCTAATTTATTTACACGTGCTCAACTGGAGCTATCATTTTATAACCCAACCGAAATAGAAAGATTTTCCTTAAATGTAATTTCTAAAATGCTTTTTTCTCTCATTTATTTAAGGCAGTATTAGTCAAAGAGGAAAATAGAAATTTCTCTGAATAATTGACCTCCCTCTAACACAACTAATATAAAAAAAACTTAAATGTTGGTTTTTTTCATCATTTTAATTTCTTGATAATAACATACTTATTTCATTCAAAGGAAAATGCATAAAATTTAGATTATTTTTAAAATATCCAAGATAGCAACACAATAGAATAATCAATAAAAAATTAAAAACACATTTTTACTTTAATGGCAGCCCTCAAAGGCATATCTTTCTTAATATTACTGAAATTAACATATCAAATGTATAATATCATAAGTATCAATTCGTTTCTATTGTTTATTTGCGTTGTGAAATACAAAGCAATGCTTAATTTTTTTCCACACTGTGAACGCTTCTCAGCTTTAGCGACTAAATCAATGGCGAAGCATTCCGAGTTTAATCTGTTTTTCCACCGCTGTAATAAAAGCACCCAATGCCTGCTATGATCACTATACGGGCCTACTATATGCAGGGGTTAATCATTTCCTACACACACGTTCATAACTATGAGTTTTTTGTTAATACGGAAAACAAGTGTGTCCTACAGAAATTACAAATAAGTTTTTAACTTACATGATGACACTGTGGAACACAATGGCCCATATTTGACATGAATAATATAAAACAAAAATTCAATTTTACGTTTTCACAAACACATTTCTCCCCACTAAATTCGGCGGAAAAAACCCAAGCTCGGCTAGGTTTTGAAGATGAACACACAAAATACAAGACAAATTGCAGGAGGATCGCCGTACGTATACCACACACAGGTAAAACCTATTATAATATGTTACATGATGTTTAATACACACAGGCAATATCTTCCGGTGGGCACGGGGGTTCGTTACAAATGTCTGAAATACACATTTGCTATACTGATATGGGTCACAGCACACATAATGTATAGTAACATTTGTAACGAACACCTGTGGATAAGGTGTGTACGATGGCCGATAGCGGCCGACAGAACACTCATATTAGTAAAAAGTGTTCTGTCTGTCAGTTTGTCAAATTATAAGTGGGTATTTTACATATTTTGTAAAAAGTGTAATCTGTCATGACACTTTGTCAATTCATGCATGGCAGTTTACTCATTTTACTTTCACAAAATAAACATTGGGGGAGGAGGGAGAGCTGGAAGTAGGGTCACATTCCAAGGGCTGAGCAGAACAGAGTATGCTATCCCAATGAACTTATTACCTTTAACATAAATCACACGGATTAGACGGGTTTTATTTACTGTTCATCGTGTACACTGGGAGCAAGATGGAGTTCCTTCTATGAAGTAAGTAAAACGATGCTGTTTATAAAGTATTTATATTAGTGGTATGTTATGTTCAAGCCTTCAATTTGATGTAATCGTTGCATTTCCTAATATGCATAATGTATCCACTGATAATAGTATAATACTATATTTGAGATAAATTACATTTTATCCCGGATAAGTAAACTTATTGGTATGAACTATTGTAAAACTCTTGAATAGTATGCAGACTTTGACTTTGCCATCATTTCTATCAAAACAACTTTTAAAACAACTATTCGCCTCCTCTATGAGACCTTCAAACCAAGCACATGGTGTGTAACATGACCAAGAAAGGTTCATCTGCCGCAGGCAGAGTCTAGTGCTACCTTCACTATTGAACGTGTGATCGTCAATAAATCATTAAGTTTACCTATTTAAAACAGTATACATATATAGTTATAATATAAATACTTTATAAACAACATCATTTTACTTACTTCATAAAAGGAACTCCATCTTGCTCCCAGCGTACACTAAGAACAACTAACATACCGTCTTATCTGTGTGATTTATGTTAAAGGTAAACTAGGTTCATTGGAATAGCATAATCTGTTCTGCTCAGCCCTTGGAATGTTACCCTACTTCCATATCTCCCTCCTCCCCAATGTTTATTTTGTGAAAGTAAAATGAGTAAACTGCCGTGCATGAATTGACAAAGTGTCATGACAGTTTACACTTTTCACAAAATGTGTAAAATGCCCATTTATAATTGGATAAACTGTCAGATAGAACACGTTTTACTAATATGAGTGTTCTGTCGGCCGTTATCGGCCATCGTAGGTTTGGGACCATAGTTTTATCTGCCACCATGCATGACTCGGAGCAGTCAGAAGTATATAAAGATCTTATTTTCTCTTCTCGCACACAAAATAAAGAGAATAATGACGCAACAGTACAGATCCATAAAAATACATTTTTAGGAGAGGAACAGAGCATAATAACGCAGGCTGCAACACATTCATTGGTGGCGAAGGCTTGATTGATCACATATCCGCTTCAGTCACTCGTAACTCAGGGGAGATAACTCAATTTTATTTTTCTAAACATGCACATAATGCAAAACGTCATCTGATTAATCCAGACGTGTGTCGTCATCTAATTAATCCAGAAGTGTGTCGTCATTTGAATGAAATATTTAAGTATAGAGAAACAAAACACCATCCATACAAAAACAAGAGTATAATATTTTGGTTAATTTTGTTCTTCTAGACTATTGTATTTTCAAACTCCTGTGGAGAACCTCGAAGATTAGAGGGAAACACGACGTTTTCTTTTAGAGTTACTTTGAACTAGACTTGAAAGGAAAAACAATACGTACCCAGCTACGAGTAAACCTCTTACATATATGTGTGTGTACGTTAATCATGTACATGCTTTGGTATATATATATATGTGTGTATGTTAACTATGTACATGCTTGTATATATATATATATATGGGTGTGTACGTTCGTTAACCATATACATGCTTTGGGGGATATATATATATATATATAACAACGCGTGTATGTGTTTAGAGCGCGCATATATATATATATATATGCGCGCTCTAAACACATACACGCGTTGTTATATATATATATATATGTTTGTGTGTGTGTGTGTACGTTTGTTAACCATGTACATGTTTTGGTATATATATATATATATGTGTGTACGTTCGTTAACCATGTACATGCTATATATATATGTGTGTGTGTACGTTCGTTAACCATGTACATGCTTTGGTATAAGCAATACAGTGTGATTTGAATTTAGTCAACATTTTACAAACATGTAGAGATAATCAATTTTATGTTTCCAATGTCGGGAAACTCACAAACGCACGATTTATCACATTGATTCAACATGCTACTATATGTGTATAATCAAAACATGTTCATCGGACTTATTGATAAATACACAAATAAACATAACGTTTAGCAAACTCAATATATCAATAGCATGTGGTCAGAATGAAAGTACTAACTGTACATCAGTCCGACATTCCTCTGGCCCTGATACCGGGCTTAGACATTTTGACAGATAGATGTCTGCTGTGGGACATCCATCTATCAAGATGTCTGAGTGTAGTGTCAGGGGAAGAGGGAACTCGGGCTACTTATATATATGGCTGAGTTTTCAGAACCACCTCTGTAGAAGCTCGCTTCTAACGCGCAGTATTATCTATGAACATCTTTATTAAGCATCGTAACCGATCCAAAGTGAACATTAATTATATATCCATGGTACTATAATGAGCCTTTCTTCAGATGTTTATCGTAGCATTTCTATTTGTCGATGTCTCCAACAGGACAAAGAGTGCCAATCATTAATTATATAATATAACAAGTTATACAACAACAATCATGTGTTACTTTGTATATTACAATGTCGTTATCAACACTTTAATACATTTCCTAATTTAGTACAATGACATATTGAACACGTGATACTTTCTATGTTCACAGTGACATCATGAAGTGTTCGGTGCACGCTGACAAGACCGTCATCATGGTGTGTCGAGCCCAGCAATGCGAGTCTTGTTTCGTCTGCGTCCTCTGTATAGCGGGATCTCACAACGGACACAAAATGGCCACAATTGGGGAGGTCGGACGAATGGCGAAGAAACGACTCCAGGATACGTTCACGGCTAATGACAAATACCTCGATGACCAGAAGAGGAAGATAGAGATTATCAACGGTATGCAACTGGCAGATGACATGAAACAGAAGGAATTACGTCAACTGATGGAAACACAAGGCCAACGCATGCATGAGACTGTGGACAAGGTTATAGCACATATGATTTCCCATTATGATTTCAAGTATGAACGACGACTGAAAGAGCTGGATTGCACAAAACACTTGATAAGAGAAGATATTACAAGAGTACAATCATCACAAGACAGTTTGGAACAGACTCTGGAAACTGACGACTGGCTACAAATTGTCGAGGACGAGAAAAAATTGACGACGACACGAAAGGTAGAAGACCTTCCCGAGGATATCACCCTTGGTGTAACAGCAGAGGAGGTTAACAACAATCTTGTCGAGGGTATCCTATCCGCTCTATAGCAATGTCAACCACTCAGTAGATCTGTGACAGAAGAACACGAGTCAGACTTCAAGGGAACAATATATAGGTATAAAGCACTACAGTCGTTATCTTCCTTCTCATTTTCACACAACTATGATATAACTTGTATACCAGTTATAAAAGTTCATGCATGGATAGATGTGGCAAATGAAATAGACGTATGTTTATGCGACAGAGAAGGAATAAAATCCAAAGAAACGACTTTTGAAGAAGATTTTCGTGGAGTGGCGGTAGCTGAAAATGATAAATTGCTTGTTGCCTTTACTGACATCAAATGTGTGAAAAAGATGTCAGTTGATGGTGAACCTCTAATGACTCTCAGTACGGACCCGTGGATGCCGAACAGAATGTGTGTCGCAAGTAACGGCGACATCTTAGTCACACAGGTCTCTTCCTTTGAGAAACGTCTTGCAGACACAGCAGGTATCGTGAGTCGGTACACAACCCACGGAAAGAGGATGGTCACGGTTGAGCGGGATCGATTCGGTAACACTATCTGTCCCAAATTTATAGCTGCCAGCCGCGTATCCGACTTGGTTGTCGTCACTACACTCACCAATGAAGAAAATGGCGGATATAATGGTCACGTGGTAGTGATGACTGGGGACCTACAAGTGAAGTTCCGATACCTTAGTGATGGGCGGGTCATTCCTGGGGACCAGCAGTACCATCCAGATATCTCAACCAAACACTTCTGTGCAGATAGTCAGGACAACATCATTCTTGGTGCTGTTAATTTAGGTTCTATAGAGATAATAGACAAACACGGACACAAACTTAAGCATCTGGGACAGGTTGATGACATGGGTTGCCTCGCCATTTCCAGGGACAATGAGTTATGGGTAGGAAAGACAAAAGGTCAAGTGGAGGTCTTCAAGTATACCTGAATCATCCAGGGAGTACAGTTTTCTTGTTTTGCTCCTTGCCGTGCCATACCTTAACAATATCAAGGTTGCCATAAATCAATCGGTAGCTGATCTTGCCGTTCTGTGTACTTATATTTAACTCATTAAGTTCGAGTGAAATTCCTCAGATTTTGTGCGAAAACATTGTAGAATAATCTGGTTAGTGAATTGATGAGAGCGTTACGGTGACTTTCGGTTTTTTCTCCGAAAGAAATCGTTTTTGTCGAAGTAAAAATGTCAATATTTATTTTATTTGTTGGCTTCTGTAAAGCATATTTACAGAAACTAAGACACCCCTGAACACGACATGACAAACAAACATTGTAATGCCATTAGACAGTTTATAATATAAACATGTAATCATCTATGTGTTATCGCTAGTCATTTGTATAAACATGTTTTTTAATACCACTAGATAGTTGTATAAGTGTTGTATGTATTTTCACTAAGCGGTTTATAGACATGTAACAGTATATATATCGTGACACCACACAGCTGCAAGGCTTTACGTTGTCGTTTACCTCAAAACCAGGCCCTCGCACAGTTCATGCTCGCAAACATTTTACTGCCTAGAAATGTAAGGAATATCTACTGATAAATCATAAAATGACAGTATGTCCCCGTGGACGTGGGTTTTTCGTTATCGTTTACTTTTGGCATCGTTATTGATCATTTCATACATGGAGTTTGTTCACACATACCTTGATATTAAAAAGGTGAAGAATGAAAGAAATCCCAACATTTTTATTTCAAATATTTTTGCTACATTAATGAAACTGTGAATATGGTTAAATAATCGTCAGTGCAAATCGTTATAACTCACCGTTGTCAACGCCATGTCAGTAGTCTACTGCTAGTGACGTATCTAGTGACAAAAACACGTGTAGTCGTTCTTTTTGGTGTCATAAACCTTATGTCGTCTAGCTTGCAATGTCAAACAGCACTTCGATTACATTTTACAGAAAAAAGGGATATATTGGAAAAGAAAATGCGGAAAATGTGAATTAAGAATTCCATTTGCCCATAATCTGACATATTTTATTTTTGTTTGAACTGTCAATGTCGTCTATTTTTTATATCTATGTTGTACAATAAAAATTTCACTTTTATGAAAACAAAAACATGCTGTAAAGAGATTCTACACTTCAATGCCATATATATCACTCGGGAAGTTACAGTGTTATAGGTTTTGTAAAACGCGTATATGTGAATTTACTAAAGATGATATTTCATAGCTGTAATAATTGTGATTTGTATATGTAACAAATGTTCTTTTCATATTCATTTAACATAAGAGAGAGATAGAGATCCTTTTTCTGTCAGTTTTGGCGAATCAATTGTTTCTTTCGTATTAATGAAGGTATAAATTGGTTAGGTGTGTGAGTGCGGAATACGCTTTACTCCAAAGTGTTAATATGTATACATATATATCAGCATCAATATACTATAACTACAAAGTGTTAATATGTATACATATATATCAGCATCAATATACTATAACTACAAAGTGTTAATATGTATACATATATATCAGCATCATATATAATAGCTTTATTTTCAATTATAGTATATCAATTCTATCTTCTTGTAATATGATGTATATGTACATGTAACTGTTCTGTTTCACTGTGTCTTGAAAAAGGAGCGGATCGCTCCGAAAATTTGACAACCTAAACTTGTCCACACTGTTGGAATTACTTCTTTGCCCCATATATATCAGCATCAATATACTATAACTACAAAGTGTTGGAATGAACTTGCTAGTTGGGAGTGACAGTGAGTTGTGAACCTTGTCGAAAATATTTTAATCTCATGTGGATATTCTGCACTAAATTATTTTATAGTGTAGGACTCTCTTCTGTTAAACAAGGCAAGAACAGGTCTATCTTTATTTTACAATATATTTATCTTTAAAAATGTGTAACATGTACAGTACGTAGTCAACCTAATGTGTGCATACAACTATTGCTTCCCCCATATGTATTCTTGATAATTCCATAAAAACAACAAATTTGCATCCTCTCACGTATTTCTTGACAGGTGTTTCAGATTATTGTGGTATACTTCGAACCCAATGGAAGAACAAATGACATTATGTTGCCAAACGCTGGTGGAAGTCTTTGTATCACGATAATTTATACTGTCTACCATGTGACTAGTCAGACAATATAGTAATACCATACCATATTAAAGAGTAAGTTAATCATAACTCATTTGTATCAAACCTGTGTAGGATGTTTTAAGTTGTGCGTTCGGTAAGGAAACGTTTCGGGGAGGTTTTGATATTTTGTTTTAAATCAATGTGTAGTCGTTAGATACATGTTATAAACACTACATTTTAACATTATAAATTGCCAATTAACTATGTACAAGAAACATTCCTATTTAGAACATTTGAATAACGCCTTAGAAACGCTACATACATAAACTGGTCGTAAAGCACACCAATAATGTCGACGTATACTTGTATAACCATGTTGCAGTATGTAAATTAATCGACAGCTTTATTTGTACGAGAGTTATCCTTGTAGTATCCTGGTTATAAATCTTTCAGCTCGGAGGTGGACAGACTCCAGATAGTTAATGGGTGTTTTTATAGATTGGGGTTACATGTGTAACTTGAATACTCAAGTTGCAGTCTCACGAGTACAATAGCTGCTTGTTTTCTATTCGGGCACTTCCCGTGCTTCATCCCAGGGATCTGCTGTCCCCCGGATGTTCAGGTAGATAACTGGTTTCTTCCTCTACCCGGAGGGAAAACAATATGACGGTTGGAAGGTATATACCAAACTGATGACACGGTAGTTATGGTGTTGATATCCAGTTCTGGTGTTAACAGCCAAAGAGTGTGATGTACTGTATATAACGAGTATACGTAAAGAGTCTATTTTGGGAGGACATGTCGTGCCTGAAATAGTTATAGGGTTATAGTGGTATAGTGCGGGGTTATAAGCTGTGTTTTACGTACCGGTGGCCTTGAAGGCATAACAAACTGTTCCACTTAAGTCATGATGGGAAACTTGATAGATACGTCAGTGAGATAGGTATATAGTTGATTAACCCGATGCGATATACTTTCTTGGAAAGAATGTTTCATTGGCCATAGGCCAGGCAGTAGATACCTCTATAGGCCAGTCAGTGGATACCCTATATAGGCCCGTCAGTGGATACCTCTATAGGCCCGTCAGGGGATACCTCTATAGGCAAGTCAGTGAATACCTATATAGGCCAGTCAGTGGATACCTCTCTAGGCCAGTCTGTGAATACCCTCTATAGGCCCGTCAGTGGATACCTCTATAGGCCAGTCAGTGAATACCCTCTATAGGCCGTCAGTGGATTCCTCTTTAGGCCAGTCAGTGGAAACCTCTATAGGCCAGTCAGTGGATACCTCTCTAGGCAAGTCTGTAGATACCTCTATAGGCCAGTCAGTGGATACCTCTCTAGGCCAGTCTGTAGATACTTCTTTAGGCCAGTCTGTGAATACCCTCTATAGGCCCGTCATCGGATACCTCTATAGGCCAGTCAGTGGATACCTCTATAGGCCAGTCAGTGGATACCTATAAAGGCAAGTCAGTAGATACCTCTATGAGCAAGTCAGTGGATATCTCTATAGCCCAGTCTGTAGATACCTCTATAGGCAAGTCAGTGGATACCTCTATGAGCAAGTCATTGGATAACTCTATAGGCCAGTCAGTAGATACCTCTATAGGCAAGTCAGTGAATAACTATATAGGCCAGTCAATGTATACCTTTCTAGGCCAGTCTGTGAATACCCTCTATAGGCCCATCAGTGGATACCTCTATAGGCCAGTCAGTGAATACCCTCTATAGGCCAGTCAGTGGATACCTCTTTAGGCCAGTCAGTGGAAACCTCTATAGGTCAGTCAGTGGATATCTCTCTAGGCCAGGCTGTAGATACCTCTATAGGCCAGTCAGTGGATACCCTCTATAAGCCAGTCAGGGGATACCTCTATAGGCAAGTCAGTGGATACCTCTATGAGCAAGTCATTGGATAACTCTATAGGCCAGTCAGTAGATACCTCTATAGGCAAGTCAGTGAATAACTATATAGGCCAGTCAATGTATACCTTTCTAGGCCAGTCTGTGAATACCCTCTATAGGCCCATCAGTGGATACCTCTATAGGCCAGTCAGTGAATACCCTTTATAGGCCAGTCAGAGGATACCTCTTTAGGCCAGTCAGTACATACCTCTTTAGGCCAGTCAGTGAATACCTCTATAGGCCCGTCAGTGGATACCTCTATAGGCAAGTCAGTGGATACCTCTATAGGCCAGTCAGTGAATACCCTCTATAGGCCAGTCAGTGGATACCTCTTTAGGCCAGTCAGTACATACCTCTTTAGGCCAGTCAGTGGATATATATATAGGCCCGTCAGTGGATACCTCTATAGGCAAGTCAGTGATTACCTCTATAGGCCATTCAGTGGATACCTCTCTAGGCCAGTCTGTAGATACCTCTATAGGCCAGTCAGTGGATACCCTCTATAAGCCAGTCAGGGGATACCTCTATAGGCCAGTCTGTAGATACCTCTAAAGGCAAGTCAGTGGATACATCTATAGGCAAGTCAGTGGATAACTCTAAAGGCCAGTCAGTGGAAACCTCTATAGGCCAGTCAGTGGATACCCTCTATAGGCCAGTCAGGGGATACCTCTATAGGCCAGTCTGTAGATACCTCAATAGGCAAGTCAGTGGATACCTCTCTAGGCCAGTCAGTGAATATCCTCTATAGGCCAGTCAGTGGATACCTCTATAGGCCAGCCAGTGAATACCCTCTATAGGCCAGTCAGTGGATACCTCTTTAGGCCAGTCAGTACATACCTCTTTAGGCTAGTCAGTGGATATATCTATAGGCCCGTCAGTGGATACTTCTATAGGCAAGTCAGTGAATACCTCTATAGGTCAGTCAGTGAATACCCTCTATAGGCCAGTCAGTGGATACCTCTTTAGGCCAGTCAGTACATACCTCTTTAGGCCAGTCAGTGGATATATATATAGGCCCGTCAGTGGATACCTCTATAAGCAAGTCAGTGATTACCTCTATAGGCCATTCAGTGGATACCTCTCTAGGCCAGTCTGTGAATACCCTCTATAGGCCCGTCAGTGGATACCTCTATAGGCCAGTCAGTGAATACCCTCTATAGGCCAGTCAGTGGATACCTCTTTAGGCCAGTCAGTGCATACCTCTTTAGGCCAGTCAGTGGATATATATATAGGCCCGTCAGTGGATACCTCTATAGGCAAGTCAGTGATTACCTCTATAGGCCATTCAGTGGATACCTCTCTAGGCCAGTCTGTGAATACCCTCTATAGGCCCGTCAGTGGATACCTCTATAGGCCAGTCAGTGAATACCCTCTATAGGCCAGTCAGTGGATACCTCTTTAGGCCAGTCAGTGGAAACCTCTATAGGCCAGACAGTGGATACCTCTCTAGGCCAGTCTGTAGATACCTCTATAGGCCAGTCAGTGGATACCTCTCTAGGCCAGTCAGTGGATGTCTCTATAGGCCAGTCAGTGGATACCTCTATATGCAAGTCTGTAGATACCTCTTTAGGCCAGTCTGTGAATACCCTCTATAGGCCCGTCATCGGATACCTCTCTAGGCCAGTCTGTGAATACCCTCTATAGGCTAGTCTGTGAATACCCTCTATAGGCCAGTCAGTGGATACCTCTCTAGGCCAGTCAGTGGAAACCTCTATAGGCCAGTCAGTGGATACCTCTCTAGGCCAGTCTGTAGATACCTCTTTAGGCCAGTCTTTGAATACCCTCTATAGGTCCGTCATCGGATACCTCTATAGGCCAGTCAGTGGATACCTCTATAGGCACGTCAGGGGATACCTCTATAGGCCAGTCAGTGAATACCCTCTATAGGCAAGTCAGTGGATACCTCTATAGGCCAGTCAGTGGATACCCTCTATAAGCCAGTCAGGGGATACCTATATAGGCCAGTCTGTAGATACCTCTATAGGCAAGTCAGTGGATACCTCTATGAGCAAGTCAGTGGATAACTCTATAGGCCAGTCAGTAGATACCTCTATAGGTAAGTCAGTGAATACCTCTCTAGGCCAGTCAGTGGATACCTCTCTAGGCCAGTCTGTGAATACCCTTTATAGGCCAGTCAGTGGATACACTCTATAAGCCAGTCAGGGGATACCTCTATAGGCCAGTCTGTAGATACCTCTTTAGGCCAGTCAGTGGAAACCTCTATAGGCCAGTCAGTGGATACCTCTCTAGGCCAGTCTGTAGATACCTCTATAGGCCAGTCAGTGAATACCCTCTATAGGCCAGTCAGTGGATACCTCTTTAGGCCAGTCAGTACATACCTCTTTAGGCCAGTCAGTGGATATATATATAGGCCCGTCAGTGGATACCTCTATAGGCAAGTCAGTGATTACCTCTATAGGCCATTCAGTGGATACCTCTCTAGGCCAGTCTGTGAATACCCTCTATAGGCCCGTCAGTGGATACCTCTATAGGCCAGTCAGTGAATACCCTCTATAGGCCAGTCAGTGGATACCTCTTTAGGCCAGTCAGTGGAAACCTCTATAGGCCAGACAGTGGATACCTCTCTAGGCCAGTCTGTAGATACCTCTATAGGCCAGTCAGTGGATACCTCTCTAGGCCAGTCAGTGGATGTCTCTATAGGCCAGTCAGTGGATACCTCTATATGCAAGTCTGTAGATACCTCTTTAGGCCAGTCTGTGAATACCCTCTATAGGCCCGTCATCGGATACCTCTCTAGGCCAGTCTGTGAATACCCTCTATAGGCTAGTCTGTGAATACCCTCTATAGGCCAGTCAGTGGATACCTCTCTAGGCCAGTCAGTGGAAACCTCTATAGGCCAGTCAGTGGATACCTCTCTAGGCCAGTCTGTAGATACCTCTTTAGGCCAGTCTTTGAATACCCTCTATAGGTCCGTCATCGGATACCTCTATAGGCCAGTCAGTGGATACCTCTATAGGCACGTCAGGGGATACCTCTATAGGCCAGTCAGTGAATACCCTCTATAGGCAAGTCAGTGGATACCTCTATAGGCCAGTCAGTGGATACCCTCTATAAGCCAGTCAGGGGATACCTATATAGGCCAGTCTGTAGATACCTCTATAGGCAAGTCAGTGGATACCTCTATGAGCAAGTCAGTGGATAACTCTATAGGCCAGTCAGTAGATACCTCTATAGGCCAGTCAGTGAATACCCTCTATAGGCCAGTCAGTGAATACCTCTATAGGCCAGTCAGTAGATACCTCTATAGGCCAGTCAGTGAATACCTCTATAGGCAAGTCAGTAGATACCTCTTTAGGCCAGTCAGTGGATACCTCTCTAGGCCAGTCAGTGGATATATATATAGGCCCGTCAGTGGATACCTCTACAGGTCAGTCAATGGATACCTCTATAGGCCAGTCAGTGGATACCTCTATAGGCAAGTCAGTGGATACCTCTATAGGCAAGTCAGTAGATACCTCTTTAGGCCAGTCAGTGGATACCTCCATAGGCCAGTCTGTAGATACCTCTATAGGCAAGTCAGTGGATACCTCTTGAGGCCAGTCAGTGGATACCTCTATAGGCCAGTCTGTATATACCTCTATAGGCAGGTCAGTGGATACCTCTATAGGCCAGTCAGTGGATACCTCTATAGGCCCGTCAATTGATACCTCTTTAGGCCAGTCAGTGGATACCTCTTTAGGCCAGTCAGTGGATACCTATACAGGCCCGTCAGTGGATACCTCTATAGGTAAGTCAGTGGATACCTCTATAGGCAAGTCAGTAGATACCTCTTTAGGCCAGTCAGTGGATACCTCTATAGGCCAGTCAGTGGATACCTCTATAGGCCAGTCTGTAGATACCTCTTTAGGCCAGTCTGTGAATACCTCTATATGCCAGTCAGTGCATACCTCTATAGGCCAGTCTGTAGATATCTCTATAGGCCAGTCTGTAGATACCTCTATAGGCCAGTCTGTAGATACCTCTATAGGCAAGTCAGTGGATACCTCTATAGGCCAGTCTGTAGATATCTATATAGGCCAGTCTGTAGATACATCAATAGGCAAGTCAGTGGATACCTCATCTCTATAGGCCAGTCTGTAGATATATCTATAGGCCAGTCAGTGGATACCTCTATAGGCCAGTCTGTAGATATCTCTATAGGCCAGTCTGTAGATCCCTCTATAGGCAAGTCAGTGGATACCTCTATAGGCCAGTCAGTGGATACCTCTATATGCCAGTCAATGGATACCTCTTTAGGCCAATCAGTGAATACCTCTATAGGCCAGTCAGTGGATACCTCTATAGGCCAGTCAGTGGATACCTCTTAAGGCCAATCAGTGAATACCTCTATAGGCCAGTCAGTGAATACCTCTAAAGGCCAATCAGTGGATACCTCTATAGGCAAGTCAGTGGATACCTCTATAGGCCCGTCAATGGATACCTCTATAGGCCAGTCAGTAAATACCTCTTTCTCCTCCGAAATTTATAATGTGATCTGGTGCTTGCTGTTTCATTCTGAACCTCAAGCTTGATGATATATCCGTTCTGTTGCTTTCTACCTAAGAGCTAAGCGATGTTTTTGTGGCGAATGTGCTTATCTGGATTTAGGTGGTGTACACTCTCCGAGCTCTGGTACTGCGCTTACATCTCTCTTATTGACAATTCAAAGTTCCTGTTGTGCGTCTCTTCAGATTTTTAAAATAAATCATTCCGATTCAAGAGTAAGGGTCGTTGTCTGGTGATAGTGGACTATTTATGGTCTTCTGTTGTCTGGTGTAGATAAATAGCAGGTTATTGATGGTGTTCCACCTTTGTTGTCTGGTGTAGATAAATAGCAGGTTATTGATGGTGTTCCACCTTTGTTGTTTGGTTTAGATAAATAGTGGGTTATTGATGGTGTTCCCCCTTTGTTGTCTGGTTTAGATAAATAGCGGGTTATTGATTGTGTTCCCACTTTGTTATCTGGTGTTAATAACTAGTGGGTTATTGATTGTGTTCCCACTTTGTTATCTGGTGTTAATAACTAGTGGGTTATTGATGGTGTTCCCACTTTGTTATCTGGTGTAAATAACTAGTGGGTTATTGATAGTGTTCCCCCTTTGTTATCTGGTGTAAATAACTAGTGGGTTATTGATGGTGTCTCAAAAGTAAATATGCACAACTAGGGACCAAGAGGAATTTACATATGAGATGGAACATATATCCCTCCATGACTTTCTGAGAAATGGCAATAACAAGAGCTATTCAAGGACAGGGACAGACGGACGGACATACAACAGACAACAGACCACAGAGAAAGGGTGATTTGAATAGCCCACCATCCGATTGATGAAGGTGGGCAAAAAAAGTTATTATTAAAACTTGATTCTGGTGACTTTGACCTAGGCATTTTAGTCTGAGACTGCTGAACATATCAATCTCTAATAAAATGGATGTTTCAAGAAACTATCCTTTGTTCACAATACATTACATTATTACCTACCATACTGCCATGATAATCCTTTTTTACTATTTTATATGCACGTTTCCAATTTCCGACTCCATTTAACCTGTATGCAGTTGATACAGAAATAACAAAACTAAATAAAGCTCAACATAATGTTATGTTTGTTTCATACAAGTTTCAACACATGAAAGTACAAAATAATAAAGTTGCATTACAAGTCATACATAATATCTAGCTACCACATGAACTCTTTCCTCTACACAAAATATTACAGGTATGGATTGGATTGCTTTTGATGTGGTATCAATTCATTCTAAATGAAATAATAGTGGTCCCATACTAATGGTAAAGCAAAAAAAGTCTTAACTCTTGCATTAAATTGAAGTGATGTCCCCTCCCTGTAACATATCTAGCACAGTAGAGAGTTTAACTCTGACCTAACAATACAGTGATGTCCCCAACCTGTAACATCTAGAACAGTAGAGTCTAACTCTGACCTAACAATACAGTGATGTCCCCTACCTGTAAAATCTAGTACAGTAGATAGTCTAACTCTGACCTAACAATACAGTGATGTCCCCTACCTGTACCATCTAGTACAGTAGAGTCTAACTCTGACCTAACAATACAGTGATGTCCCCTACCTGTAAAATCTAGTACAGTAGATAGTCTAACTCTGACCTAACAATACAGTGATGTCCCCTACCTGTAAAATCTAGTACAGTAGATAGTCTAACTCTGACCTAACAATACAGTGATGTCCCCTACCTGTAAAATCTAGTACAGTAGATAGTCTAACTCTGACCTAACAATACAGTGATGTCCTCTACCTGTAACATCTAGTACAGTAGAGAGTCTAACTCTGACCTAACAATACAGTGATGTCCCCTACCTGTAAAATCTAGTACAGTAGATAGTCTAACTCTGACCTAACAATACAGTGATGTCCCCTACCTGTAAAATCTAGTACAGTAGATAGTCTAACTCTGACCTAACAATACAGTGATGTCCCCTACCTGTAAAATCTAGTACAGTAGATAGTCTAACTCTGACCTAACAATACAGTGATGTCCCCTCCCTGTAACATCTAGTACAGTAGAGAGTCTAACTCTGACCTAACAATACAGTGATGTCCTCTACCTGTAACATCTAGTACAGTAGAGAGTCTCACTCTGAACTAACAATACAGTGATGTCCCCTACCTGTAACTTCTAGTACAGTAGAGTCTAACTCTGACCTAACAATACAGTGATGTCCCCTCCCTGTAACATCTAGTACAGTAGAGAGTCTAACTCTGTCCTAACAATACAGTGAGGTCCCCTACCTGTAACATCTAGTACAGTAGAGTATAACTCTGACCTAATAATACAGTGATGTCCCCTACCTGTAACGTCTAGTACAGTAGAGAGTCTAACTCTGACCTAACAATACAGTGATGTCTTATACTTGCACATTACACAGTACAGTATCACAAAGGCAACAAGTTTACATGAAATGATTGCTCTGCCAGTGAGCAAATACAAATACAGCACAGATAATAGCAAATAAAATACAAAGGTATATATTCAACAATTTAAAAGATTTGACCACTTCTAGAAAACATTCTAAATGGTTTGTCATCAAGACAGCAAATTAATTCTTTGATTTAAATATTCAAAGATCAAATAGGTGGTTATTTCATATCTTTAATAAAAAAATCAATATGTCAATGGCACATAATTAAAACGATTTCAAATTAAGCCAAAACATTACATAGAAACATATGTATCCTTTGACTGTTTTCTAGTCCCGAGTGGAGTTTAGGCTTAGATAAAACATCTAGTCCATCCCGAGTCCAATTTAACAAAGCATACAATCTTCTCTGATTAGTTTATAAGACTAAATATGTTCTTTCCACAAAACAAGTCACATACATTAACTGAATGTAATAAACAAGTGAGAAGGTAATCTACATGTTCTGATGAGTAGTTAAAACAGAGTATCAAACGACGATATCACACTTGTTTATATTATTACAGATAACTAGGTTTCCTCTATGTACAGAATTTTCTGTTGAGTACATTACATCACAGTAAACAGGCATACTGGTTTCTGACATATCACCATACTAGATCACAATTAAGAAAGACTTGATCACAGACAAATATAGTCTGTTAGGAATATGTTGCAACTGCAATTGCATGGCATATAGAAAAAATCATCAAACACAATGGTTATTTGGATTTAAAAGTAAGAGAGCCATCAAATGATTTTACATGAAATTATAGACAGTTATATATTTCTAATTTTCACAAAATGACATATTTGGGATATTGCTGATGAGGATGATGCTGGCATGTATAAAGTGCTCACAATGGAGATCTACTGTCAAAGTTCCACTATGACACTTTCTTAAAATGAAATTGTAAATTCATCAGAACATCTCCTATATTTTGATACATCAACCTTACAACGCTGGCCACAGGATTTGGATTTGTAACCTTGATCCTTCACGAGTGTTTCTGGTAGTCCTAAATCACCATACACAGGCGTACCTGCTTCTGGTCCATACACAACGCCAGGTTGTGAATTCTGACTAGACGAACTTTTTCAGTATCTCCAGCATTGAATACTCGATAAATACAGAAGTCCTCCTTCTGCTCCTGAGCAAACATGATCTGTGGTGCTGAGATCTCAAACACTTCCTTTTTGTCAGATAGGGTGCTCTTGACTTCAATATAGATCACGGAGATCCCAGTTTCTGTGGCAACATGCATTTCAAAATCATACGGTAATCCTGTCTCCTTGTGCTCATTCTTCCATGTAACTTGGATAATGTCAGAACTGATCTCCTTCATTTGAAGGAGATAGTAGTAGACCAAAGTTTCCCCCCACTGGCCTATTTCCTCTGTCCCAGCGCCAGAATCTGTGACAATGCTTTCTGGCAGTTTGAGGTCTTTCCTGATGTCCAGCTCATCATATACATACTCACTGGAAACAGTAGTCCAGGCGGGGTCACCTACAACAGAGAAACAAATGATTGAAGGGATGACACCAGTTATACAGGCAATCAAAGTGGGTCCTAGTTATCAGTTACCATGACAACACACAAATACCACAGAGCACTACTTATACTGCAACCAATACAACCCAAAAGTACCATAGAGCTTCATGTATGCAAGTAACTATGACAACACATTTATCAAAGACTACTAAAGTTAAACAGGTACTCTGAAGCACTGAAGTTTCATGGTATAAGATATTCAGTTTGATAATTCTAACCATTCCAGACTTAATATTTCACTATATAACCATTACTACCTGAATATGTTAATGATGACCTAGATCTGTAGCTAAGAAGTATAGTGAAATAAATCAAGATATTTAAGCATTTAACTGCCTTCTTTGGAAAGTTGTTGTCCGATAAACAGCATTAGTGCACGTTATGATTAATTTGTCTGCAATCCTGTGAGATTTATAGGGCAATAACTTTCCAAAGAAGGCAGTTTAATAGTTATATTTCCGTTTTTAATTTAGGTTTTTCTTATATTTCCTGTTATCGCATTTCAAAGTCAAATTTGGCGCTGTCTGTCAATGGGACCTGTTCTTGTGACGTCACAAGTACACGCGACCGTTCCAGCAAAAAAATATAATTTGTGGAAATAAACAGAAAATCATCAATATAATTTCAACAATTTAATCAATATATTCCACCGTGAGGATATTCACCTTTTATACAACATAACTACATAAATTGTTGTGAGTTACATTGATCTACTGGGTTTTTTAATCGGGTAGCACGGATGTTCTTCATATCACTACACCAGTGGGAATTATGTGTGAATTATGATCTGATATCTTTCTATTTGTGTTTTGTAAGGTTATATAGTGGCAATGCAGAGCAAATGGAAATATATAGTAATCATGACATCCCACTTACCAAAGTGTCCTCCCATAACAGACTTTTTGTTGGAGGGAGGTGGTGAGCCATCGTCTGGATGGCGGCGTTTGTTACTGGTCACAGCCCCGGGCTCTTTGTCCTCACTACGTCCCTCACCACCTCTAAACTGACTAGATGACTTATCTCCCCTGCCTTCTGATTGAACAGATGTTGATCTTTGGACCCCTTGATTATCAGAGGATGGTTCTGAAACCTCTCCTGAGCTGTATGGGCGTTTGGTTTCCCCAGCTTCCGACTGACTGTCGTCTGCTCGCTTCCTCTTCATACCATCTGCTACAAAAGAATAGTTGTTCAGTATAAAAACATGTTATAGACAAACTAACACACACCAAGTTTTCATCTTAACACCTGCAGAAGATTTACATATGCTAAACAGGCGTCTTCAATAAATAGAGATTATTGTTATGTACAACTGGATTCAAAACTTTTTGTGTATCACCTAACAAAATATGCATCTCCCAAATTATGTATCTCCCAAAACATATATCTCCTGCAATATGGTACACATGACTGATTTAAATTTAAAAGGTGAATATCAAGGTCAAGGTCACGAAAATCAAAGCAGACAGACAGATAAATGATATTTTGTTTTTAACTGATTAATTTTTTCAGTCTGAAAACCAACTCTTCCAACTGACTTGTCTGGGGTTATTAGTAATGAACCCTTATGATCACATCTAGCTAACATACCAAACACCATGGGAGCATCACTTCCTCCAAGGTACAGACTTTTCATTCATGGTAGTTTTTGACAAGGAGGGGGTTATGCCCCCTCAGGTTTCTTTGCCTTTCTATTTCATGGCAATTCTTAACAAAGGAAAAAATATTTTTATGTGCCTACCTTTTCTTTGCATCCTACTTATTTACAGTGGTAGAAATTAGCAGACATAAAACAATACTACTTTCAATAGAAACACATGATGTATGCTACACCTATAGTGAGGACCTGTTGAAGATACATGCAAATAAGAACCCTCATTCAATCATATGTAACTTTTCTTTCTATCCCTGTCCTTGACCTAGATACCCACAACATGCCACACAGTCCATTTTGATGAGTACTTTTACCACTTTCTCCAGTGCTGTCCTGTCTAGTATACTGCCTAACCGAGCCAGACTCACTAGCACCGTCTCTAGGCCTTTGTTCTCCTTCTGACTTTTCTGCTCTCTCAGGTTTGTTTTCAGAATTTTCCTCTTCATCAGTGACCCTGACCCCTGATGGAAGCTCTCTCACACTGCGGAGATAATCAGGCACCTTTGGAGGTGGCCATATGTTGGAGCCAGTGGAACCCTCCTCTCTTGGAACTGGAGAAAAAAACACAGCTACTCCATCACAGAACATAAACATAATGTTATCACAGAAACAATCCTATTTGTTATAAAGATCACTTGAACATCATTAACTGTTTCTTGTGTATATTTTATTTTACTTATAACTATTGTGATGTATTTACTTCTCTTCCTGCCTTGCTGGTCTGCTAAGTTGGTATCAGAAGCTGGAGGCCAGGCTGTTAGTCTAGGTTCACCCTCTGTCTGGGGCCTGCCGTCGTTAACTTCAATGGCGGCATACTCGGTAACAGCTGCCACGTAAACAGTGTTAATACCATTGAAATATACACAAAAACTTTCTGAAAATGCTTACAAAGTTTTATCGCAAAACCAAGAATGTAGGCATAAAATCTTCACACAAACACAATTGGGTTTTTTCTTAAGATTACTGAACCATGAATAATCACTGAAAAAAACTTATTTGGTTCCAACATGTAAGTTTCAGTATAACAAGTATAACAGGCTGATTGATGTATGATAGATTAATACTAGATTGAATAAATTGAGTTTGTTTGATCAAGTAAAGCAGGTTTGATTAACCATCTACATTAACGCAATTTCAAATAACTGACAGACAGTTCAGGAGGTATGAAATTTCTCGTGTCTCTCTTACACCCCGCTGTAAGACCTTAGAAACTCACCCTGGGGTTGAGGTTCAGGAACAGGCCTTATAGGAGGTGGCACACACCATGGTTCCTCCCCCTCAGGTAGATACTCTGTAACCCCATTGTCTTCACAGATTTCATTCAAGTCGCCGTCTGACTGGCCAGTTAGTATTGGCATCATACTATTTAGGAAGGTCCTGAAAAAGCATCACACGTTACGTCTGACTGGAAGTGTATACTGGGAAATTTTTCGCTGCAGTTTAACTTTCAGCTTTTTCGTCTCCCGTATTGACATACGACACAAACTAAACAGAGCAATCAAATGTGAACGGCAAGTTAACACTGGGCGCATACAGGTTTCACTGGCGTGGGGCGAAAATTAAACTGGAGGGAAATTTTCCAGTAAACAGTATTCTGTTCATAACATATCATTTCATGACACAGTGACCAATTTGGTTGCTGAGTTGACTTGTTAACTGTGGCGCCCATTCAAACGTTCAAACGTTCAAACCAGGGACCCTCCGAACTCTAGATGGACGCTCTACCAATTGAGCTACCTGGTCGCCGATGATCGGCCCAGCCCAGTTCCGCTACATTCCTCCCACCTTTTTCCAAGTCTAAGCTACCTGGTCGCCCACAGTCGACCAAGTCAAGTTCCACTACACTATAAGATAAAGCTGCTAGTCAAATTCAATGTCGTGTTTACCAAAACAACAGACCAATAAGATGAACAGAACAGTAATTGGCAACAAATTATACTGTCGACTTTAAAAGAACAGCCACTACCTTAGATCCCGGGAGCATTTCTCATCTTTCCTGCTAAAGTACTTTGAGATCTCTCTGTTGATATCCTGGTAGGAGGTCAGGAATTCCTTGTGGAAGTAGAAGGTTGAGCCTTCACTGAGACACTTCTCTGGCCGTATGTGGAAGATTTCAGGCTGGGACCGCAGGGAGTATCGCACCTCTAAACGGGAAACCTGCAATGAAAACAACCCAATCAAGTACAAGACTGGAATGAACTCAAAAGCTATGGTCCAAACAAGAATAATCAATAAGAACAAGTTCTAATACAAGATGTCTCCTTTCATTCAAATGGGAAACATCCATATTTGTCACATACTGAAGAAATCAAACATGGTACTATTTTGTGTAAGAAAATGAAAAATATCAAACATAATGTTATCACAAAATGTAATGCAAGTGTATTTTTCAAGAATCTTGAATTGACATGTTGACAACATATTAACCATCATTCCTACCTGCTGCTGATAAATGTGGCTAGCTATTTACCTGGATAAACCTCATTTTAGGTAGCGTTGTTGCGATTGCGTCATCCGTTTGCTGCTGGTAGATGTTTGGGTAGCGGTTGTATATGAAGACCTGTATCTGAGGCACTGCCTGGTGGACATAGTACTGGAGTTTGGGACACTCCTGAAAGTCCGGTGTAATCTCCGAAGTTTCTACACTCTCTGACAAGCTACACACATTACACAGCTTCAGGAATACATGCATGGCTTCCTCATCTGTCAGAAAAACATAACAGATTCCAGAGTTAATCACTGGGTTATCGTGATACATATTTGCTAGAGTGCCCTCGACTTCTTGTTTGTAAGGATTTTAATTTGATAAATGAAAAACATCTATTTTTTGAAGAAAGACTTATATTTTTTTGATGTTTGTAGATATTTATATCTACCGGCTGGTACCTTGTTTAAATGGCACTGAATAATATGTGTAATATGTTTGAATTACTGATGGACTTTCTTTGCTAAATGTATATCCTGTTAACCTTCATAGTTTCACCTCACAAAGGCTATTTTCGTTTAAACGGTTAAACCAGTTGGACCTAAGTTGTTCATTTATTAAATAAGGTCTGACCTAGTAATCTGATGCTGCTTTCAGGAAAGCCTTGACAAAGCCTTGCAAGGCCTGCTTAAACATTTGCAGGTCGGCCAGGATTTATACCCGAAATTGTTACATTTAAAAACAGACAAACCAGTTGTTAGCATTAACAAACAGTCCCCAGATGTCCTTCCTAAGGCCTTTCAATATGAAGTTGCCCATTGTTGAGTTCACCTATGCATATTTAAGTACTTCACAATATCAATATTACTAACCCTATATGTGATATTTTGTCCATCTCATTTTGAAAAAGCCTTTTGTTCATCGGTAAAGTGAAAATGAGAGTGAATTTGACTGTTTAACAGTTTATGTCTCAATGCACAAGTGATTTACACGGGTGTGGATTTTCGGAAAATTTATTTAAAAGAAAAATTAAATATCAGATTATTTTTGGTTTAGTATTTCAAATTCTAAATTAAAGTCATACCATGTCTTTTACATATCTTTCTCTAACATAAAGTAAAACAAACATACGTTTGTAAGCCATTATGCTCAAAATACTACCTTCCAGCATTATAACTAAGATACACTGTTATGATGCTGTTTACGTACCATGGGGCTTGCTTTGTCGCCCACGCTTGTCTTTTGTCTTTGGGTCCTCCAAATCCAGGAAGTGTACGTCAGCTTTTTCACTGAACATTTTCTCCAGTTCGCGTTTGTCACTGATCATAGGGTTTTGTTCCATGCTTATCCACTGTCCCTTCTTTGTGGCAAGAATCTTCTGACCTTTTAGCCGCCCAAGAAGTTCACGTTTCTCACCCTCAAGTATTTGTCGTTTGGTGATTGTGTCCTGATCATTGGCCTGGCTTGCGTCAGAGTTTGGATCCTGAAGACGAGAGCCAATGGTGGAGTACAGCTGCAGCACATCACGCAGTTTGGTTTTGTCCACAGCGGGCATCATGCTGGTCATCAGTACCAGCAACTCGGCATACTCTGTCATGCTAGGTTGGTAGACAATCTTACCTACACGCAGAAAGAACTCCTTAATATCGCTGTCATGGTAGAGCTGTGTCAGTGTCCGTTTCTTTGCCAGGTCTGAATGGTACTCCTCTAGAAGTTCTCGGTGTTTTTCTATCAGACCGGTAGAGTCTGTCCACCAAACCTCCTCTCTATTCATCATCTTTCCAGCCACATCTGTTGATGATGATGGGTTATAATTGGTAAATGTGGTTACTGGAACAAAGATAACCGGGTTTTCCATCAGTAAGTCCTGTGTTTTCTTTGGCGGCAGGTGGTCAAGTAGATAGCGATACACAGTTTTGATGTGCTGCAGACTGGTACAGAAAACAACTGGCTCGACCTCATCTGACCGTGCACCCCAATTGATTAAACTTTTCTTTACCTCCTCAATGTCCACTGAGGTTTTCAGTCTGAGGAATTGACAGAAGCTGCTTTGATTTGATGGAATGGCGTCCAGGTAGCGGACCGTGTGAGACAGATGTTTTTCTATTTGAGGCAGGCGTAGATAGATATCGGAGGGTGCCAACATAGTCACATTGGTGGAGGCGCGCACACTGCCGACCCCATCTACTATCAGCTCCTTCTTTAAGGCTGGCAGCCAACTGTTTGTTCGCAGCAGGATGCTGAGGGAAGAGTCAGTGTCCTTGATTGGTCTTCCGTCTGCCGTACACAGCTGAGCTGACACATATGTTGCATACTGATTGTCCCAGGCATGATCTAACAGCTGGAAAAGCATCTTCATCTGCACCTCGTATGAGGTTGGACTCTTGTTGTCCGAGACAATACACTCCAATTCTCGGCAACACCAGTCCTGTATGTAAGTCCCTTCCTGAAGGTCTCCCCAAATCTCCTTCATTGGTGCCCAAGGGCTGGATGACTGTCAAGGAGTAAACATTAAGTAAATTCTTGTCTTTAAACATTATAACAATACCTTTTTGCTGTTATTGGAAATACTTTTACAAAAAGGATGCTTTTATCACTTCATTGTTTTTCCTGTCGTGTTAATTTCGATTTTGGTTTTTATCATTATTTTAAAAAAAACATCTTTCATGACTGTGACCTTGAAAGTGGCTAATGTCAATAAATTTAACAAACATAAAATCATGTCACTCAAAGCTACAGGCAAACATCATGGTCAAAGCGCTAGACCTCATGGTTCTACAAAAGAAGTTTGAAGATTTTCCGCTGGGGTTTCCGGTGTAAAAAAAAGTATTTGAACAATTCTGATAGCTACCAGACCAATCTACGAGCTAAATATGTTTAATTAATGTCATGTGGTTCAATAGAAGAAATTATCTAAAAGAAAAATAAATGCTGAACAAATTTCCTTCATTGTTCAAAACACAGGACATTTACAACACCTCTATTTACAATATACACTACATGTTGATTTATACATTCACTGTTGAGCAGACACTACCATGAAGGAACTTACGATCAAGGTGTTGTCAATCTGGACTTTCTCTGACCGCACACACAGGAAGTTGGTGACGCCTAGTTTGGACAGGAAGCTGTGCCAGCGCTGTTTGTCTGGATTGCTTTTACAGTTGTTCAGATAAACACTGTCCAGTAGGATCCAGTCGTAGCCTACAAATCGACCATTATTAAGTTTTTGTAAACACTATTCGGAGAGGCTTTTGACCTTGAAACTGATTGTATTAATAAATTCTTACCATGGAGCATACTTTAGAGATTTGACCACTGAAGTGGATAGTGAACTGAGAGAAATGCAGTTTTGAAATCAAAACATAGCTTTAAGGCTAATGGTGTGGTACTGATATAATTCATTTACCTGGGAAGCTAGCTTGGAGGTTGATGCTGTTGCCATACAGAGTGGTAAAGTGAAGGGGGTCATCTCTAGGATTCTTAACCCCCTGGTTGGTTACTAGCCTGGCAACAGTAGACAGGTTTTCTAGGTCAACAATGGAATTCTGCTGCTCATGGCACTCTTTAATATACACCAGGTAACTGATCAGAGTCTCACGCTGTTTGGTCTGGAAAAGTAAGTAAAAATGTTTGTCTCACATACAATGCTTAATATTCATTAATCTATAATGGCATACAGTCAAATCTGCTAAAGCGACTATCTGTATTAAACAACCATCTGTTTTATGTGACCACTTTTCATTCCTCCCGATCGTTTTTACTATGTAATTTAACTGTATTAAGCGACCACCCAATACTGACCCCAAAATAATGTTAAACAACCACATTTGATACATTTTAGCAACCATGTTTGATGAAAATATACCAAACGGTCGTTGAAATATTTGTGTAACTCCAAATTTGTGACCGTCACCACATTAATGCAAAAACAAGAGGCCCAGGGGCCTTAATAGCTCACCTGGTATTTTATTTTTCAATTTAAAACCTGCTGAGTACCATTCAGGTTTATCAAAGGAGTACAAGTAACAAAGTTGCATCTTCCATTTATAAATATTCAATTCCCTTTGCCCAAAGATTCTCTAAAACAAGTTTGGTTAGGTTAAAATCCCTTCAACGGTACAGAAGGAGAAGGATCTTTAATGTTTTCCTCTATTTCCCCTAATGGGCCCCACTAATCTGCCCCAAAGAAGGGGAATCCACACACCTCAGTTTAAACAAAATTGATTCTTTTCTCCCTAAGCATGCTTCAGACTGCATTTGGTTTAAATCCCTTCACTTGTATAGTAGGAGAAAAAAAATCCTCTATTTCCCCTATTGGGCCCCGCTCCTATGCCGCCAGAAGGCCCACACCCTCCGTTTATACAAACTTGAGTCTCCTTTGTCCAAAGATGCTCTAGGACAAATTTGGTCAAAATCCTTCAATTGGTTGAGGAGAAGATTTTTAAAGATTTACCTATTTTCCCCTATTTGGCCCCGTCCCTCTGCCCCCAGGGGGACCATACCCTCCGTTTATACAAAACTGAGAACCCTTTGGCCAATGATGCTCCTGACCAAGCTTCAGACTGCATTTGGTTTAAATCCCTTCACTTGTATAGTAGGAGAGAAAAAATCCTCTACTTCCCCTATTTGGCCCCGCCCCTCTGCCCCCAAAGAGGCCACACCCTCCGTTTATACAAACTTGAGTCTCCTTTGTCCAAAGATGCTCTAGGACAAATTTGGTCAAAATCCTTCTATTGGTTGAGAAGAAGAAGATTTTTAAAGATTTACCTATTTTCCCCCTATTTGGCCCTGCCCCTCTGCCCCCAGGGGGGTTATACCCTCCGTTTACAAAACTGAGAACCCTTTGGCCAATGATGCTCCTGACCAAATTTGGTCAAAATCCTCTGAGCCATTCAGGACAAGTAGCATTTTAAAGGAAAAAGTTGACGGACGCCGGACGCCGGACGCCGGACGCCGGACGCCGGACGCTGCGCCATGGGATAAGCTCACTTGGCCCTTCGGGCCAGGTGAGCTAAAAATGATCTTTTCCCTACTATAGGAGCTGAAGATGGTAAGGATGTTATACATAAGGGGAGTGAAGTATCACTGCATGGTCAGAGCTGTAGAGCAGTAGGGTGTTATACATAAGGGAACTGAGGGTTACCTTCCACTGGTCGGAGCTGAGGAGGAGAGGGATGATATATATTACAGGTATAAATATTACCTGTCACTGGTCAGAGCTGAGGAGGAGAGGGATGATATATATTACAGGTATAAATATTACCTGCCACTGGTCGGAGCTCAGGAGGAGAGGGATGATATATATTACAGGTATAAATATTCCCTGCCACTGGTCAGAGCTGAGGAGGAGAGGGATGGTACACATTACAGGTACAAATATTACCTTCCACTGGTCAGAGCTGAGGTGGAGAGGGATGGTAAACATTACAGAAATAAATATTACCTGCCACTGGTCAGAGCTGAGGAGGAGAGGGATGGTAAACATTACAGGTATAAATATTACCTTCCACTGGTCAGAGCTGAGGAGGAGGAGAGGGATGGTAAACATTACAGAAATAAATATTACCCGCCACTGGTCAGAGCTGAGGAGGAGGAGGAGAGGGATGGTAAATATTACAGAAATGAAGATTACCTTCCACTGGTCAGAGCTGAGGAGGAGGAGAGGGATGGTACACATTACAGTAATGAAGATTACCCGCCACTGGTCAGAGCTGAGGAGGAGAGGGATGGTAAATATTACAGTAATGAAGATTACCTTCCACTGGTCGGAGCTGAGGAGGAGGAGGGGATGGTAAATATTACAGTAATGAAGATTACCTGCCACTGGTCGGAGCTGAGAACAGGTAGAATGTGATGAGTGATCACATCCTTGGGCATCAGGCGCTTCACACTGAGCTTGTTGAGGAGTTTTTCCACCTGTGAGTTAACCTCACTGTCAGGAGTGGCCAGAAGGAGAGGGTGGATGGTGTTGAGGTCTGTCTGTAGAACCATCATTGGATCTGTGGTATCAAACAGACGTTTTATTTGTTTGGCCTAACAGTCCATACTGGGAAATTTTCACCCTTTAAAAGTAAAATCTGTGTTCGCCCAAAGTGTGTTTTGCCCTTCACATTTAATTACAACATATAGTATGCTATTTATATATGTTCGCTGTAATGATAAATTTGACCTCATTACGGAGGGCAAAAAAAGGCTTAAATTAAAATTGCAGTGAAAATTTCCCGGTATACATTTATATAATAGATACTATGTATACATATGAGGATTAAATGACTCAGGGATAAGGAAATCTTTGGAATATCATACACATCCATCGATAAAAAATATCTTAATATTGGTCTGGATTGAATAAATACTGAAACAGCATTGGCACTTTGGAAGATAATTATACTTTACTAATTAACATCATCAAATATAACTCATTGGGTTTGGTGAGCTATGAGGTTAACAAAACTATATCCTTTTATTTTATTTTTTTCTTCATATACATACATAGTAATACATGTGGCTAACTCAAGGGTTTTGAAATAACTACATACATACGACTGACACAAGGATTTAAAATAGCTATTTAGCAAAAATACTTTGTCCAATGACCAAGCTTGTTTGAAAGAAAGATGATTAAAAGTGATCGAGTACATAAATATTCAATACTTTCTGGTAATAATACGAACCAAAATCTATATCATCCATCACACTTATAATATATCAACTTTTATTTAGGTAACAATGTCAATTATGCTCATGATCACACACAGTACAAACTAAACTTTCCAAACATCCCGAAAACTTTTACCAAATCAATAATCAAAGTGTATGGATGATACCTCCTCGGTGCAGTGTTTTTTTATCCTCTGTCAACGGAAAAAAGATGGTTTTGTCTGTCAATGCCACAAATTGGTAGGTGGCGAGAGGAATGATCTTAAGGGCACTCAGTGTTTCCAGGATGGTCTGGTTGTCATGGAACTCGTCCAGGCTGCGGTACACACATGCCAGCCACTTGGCAGTGATGAGGATCTGATTGTTAAAGTCTTCTACAAACCAAAAAATATGTGATTATATCATCTATTAGTTCTTTTAATATCTTCACACTTATGTGTACTTTTATGCATTCACTTGAACTTTCCAGTTGCTATAGGTCCTATGAGGATTTGATTGTCCAGGTCTACTACAAACCAAACTAATACAGTTCACATCATTGATAAGATCTCAATCAAGGATAAGTACATAGCAGAATATAGATCTTATACTGTCAATGATGGACAACGGTCAAAAACGAGTTGGCTGCTATCAAGGATCAGTAGATATATAGAGGTCCCCAAGTGAGTGATGATCGATTATCATAATTATCTAGCTCGAGTTAGTTCATTTTCCAAATGTATCAAGACAAAAGACAAACTGTGTCTTTCTACAACTTAAAATGAACTAATTAGAGTTAAATAAACATATTATCAGTCATCAAAATGTTTGGGGTTTTCCTAGCATAATGTCCATATCGTGTTTAAAGAAAAACACATTCTCGTTTTAGGAGTACATTATTTCTGTTTCTGATAGGAGAAACAATTGCCACGAGTCATGATGTCACAATAGAAGAGGATGTTGCAGAACATTGTTTCTTGGGGTCATAATAAGAAGATTGACCAATATAATAACGTCCAAATTGTAACCACTAGTGAGTAACCAAAAATGTTTACCAAATCTCAGTGGAATTAACCAATGAGTCAGGAAACATATAGTGGTTGTGTGAGAAATATAAATACCCGGTTGTTGGCTGCGGTCAAGAATGAGAGCCTTTCCAATCTGTATCAGGTGATCAGTGGTCAAACACTCGATGCCCAGACACTGTGTCAAGGTTGTGTTCAAGGACTCGGCAAGATCACGGTGCACATAGTACAGGTTGAGGTGTTTCTGTAGCATCTCTGGTGTGATCAGTTCACAAATCAAGGAGTCCCGGATGATCACTGTCTGCGAGGGCATCTTCCATGTGATCATACCTACAGATAAAACAGGCCTACAGATAAAACAGCCTACAGATAAAACAGGCCTACAGATAAAACAGGCCTACAGATTAAACAGGCCTACAGATGAATACGTCCTAATTCTGAAACCTGGGTATAAACGCTATTAGGGTCTTAAATCTGATCTAGCAAATTGTTTTCTTTCTGTCCTAACCAACAAGCCTTATACCAACAAAACATGACAGATCTATCTGATTTTATACTCATGTATGACCTTGAATACTTGGAAGGTTAACAACATATTTAATAACATTTCATCATCAATTTTATCAAAGTACATGAAAATTGTACAGTAAAATTCTTTTATAACAGGAAACTTAAAGAAATTAGTTCAAAAATATCTAAAGAAATTCCCTGTCTGCAAGATAACAAATGCAGTAAATGTCACACATCACTGTATGATCACCTTAGTCATGTCTGAACTATCATAAAACAACTTTTATATTTACTTTGCCTTACATGCCCTCTGGGGTTCAATTTGAGCTGAAACTGTAATACAAGAATGTTTTTGCATGAAATGAAATATAAGTTCTTTTCCTGACAACCTTCTTAATTCAAGGACTATACCAATATCTGCGAACAGTTTGAGAAATGTCCAGACTGACCTTTGCTGTTTGGTTGTGTAGGCACACAGGCTTTTGCCTTGAGTTTAGCCAGGATCTGCGAGGCGACAGGTCGGAAGAAGTCTAAGATCTCATCCTCCATAGGAACAAACTGGAGAAAGGATGTGATCGCTTCAAGGGTGCTGAACTCCTTGTGGGACTGAAAATGATAACAATATTGATGCAGACTGATAACTTGTGTCGACCGTACATCTTAATGCATATAATGAAAAGAATCTCAAAAACATTCCTAATCAATATACAATATTCACTGATGTTTCTTGCTTCATGGAAAAAATATGCCGCTATATTTCCTCTATTCATCACCTATTATTACACACCCAAAGACAAAATTCTGATCAAATGCAAAGATTATAAATCCAAAAACTGTAAAAAAAAAGATATGTATCGAATAACATCTGCATGTATGAGTTCGGACATGTTCAGTTAAGATGTAGGAAATATTCAGTATGAGTAATGTTTTGCAGACACAAGGTAACGAGTATAAAGGTTGACTTCCTACCTTGAACAAATCCAAAGCCTCGATAAACAGGGTGTGGAGCTCGTTTCTGATCCACTGATTCCACGGACTGTCCCTATCCACATCCTCGCGACTGGACGGCACATCAAAGTCACCTGAACCAAAAGTACATCAACATTACCCAGTCACCTAAATAATATTACAGGAAGCGTATATTGCATTTTTAGTAACATTTATTGTACAATGTAGTAACTAACTCATTTACCCCTGATAATGAACTATTTCACAAAATGGAAGAGTTCAAATGTGTCTTCAGGGGTGAATGAGATAAGAACAAAACAGCATTTTGAGCCAGTACAATGTCTGGCTCACACTAGAAATGTGTGACCACCTAGATTTTTATAACATTATGAATAATATAAAGAAAATATAGAGACATTTGTGTCTAAACACATGTCTCTAAAGTGGTTTAAACATGTCAAAAACACATGTCTAAACATGTATCTTAATTATCCTCTCGTTTTAAAAATGTCCTGTCTCATATATAAAATGGAGAGACCAACATTTTTTCTTTTAAATAATGGGGGAAAATAAAATAAAGCTAGATTTACCGGGGGGGGGGAATTTCAAACAATATACGGTAAATTACCTTGTACGATAAAGCGGAAGCCGTAGCTGCGGAGCGGCAGGAAAGCAAACACTGGTTGTCTGGGCTGAGCAGTCTAGAGATACAAATCACAAGTATGAATGTCAAACAGTGTATATACATAATTAAACTGGCCTGGTGTGAAAATAAATTGGTTTTATACAACTTTCAAAAATCAACCATTAAATTTGCTATTAGGAAGAAAAAAGCCTTTAAATCAAAAACATTTATTTTAAAAATCTTCCTCACTATCCGATGCAAATTTATGATATAGATACAAAGCTATAACGTTAAGTAGAGATGTTATAAATTACGTGTCATTCTTACCAGGGAAAATCCTCTGTTACCCTTGGTCTTAAGTGGGAAGGCCATGGCAATTTCTGTGGAGTCTACTTCCACCCCTGATTTGGCCTGGAAAACAATAATTAAGAATTCTCGAATGTAAGAACAACTGTCATCAATTTCGATAATGGTAACAAGAGGCCCAAGGGCCTTAGCGGTCACCCGAGTTATATTACAGGTACTGGTAGCTTTATTTTATCGTTTAGATGTGATGTGGAAATCAGCATGTAAACTAAGTGAAATTCAATACTTGTCATGTCATCAAAGGATAAGAATTTGAAAATATTGGTAAATGTTCCCTTTGGGGCCCCGCCCTAGCCCCTTGGGATGGGGCAGGAATCCCAATTTTACAAAATAATACTCTCATTCACCAAAGATGATTCTGACTAAGTTTGAGGAATTTTCTTTTGAAAATGGATAAAATATACCCGAAAGTGTTATTTCCCTATATAAACTATAGTAAACTTTACCCCCTCCCCAAGGGAAAACAGATAGCTCGGGGTTTCTGAAATGAATGATTTAAATAAAGCCTCTGATGATTTTCTTTCCATGCAGAGAAAATGACTGTAGTACCTCTGAGTCTGGAGAAGAAGATTTTTGAAATATTGGTTAATTGTCCCTTTGGGGCCCCGCCCTGGCCCCTGGGGTTGGGGTAGGAATCTCAATTTTACAATTTGAAACCCTCTTCCTCCAAGGATAATTCTCACCAAGTAAAAATAATTTCCTACAGAAAGTTGTCAAAATATACCCAAAAGTGTTATTTACCTATATAAACTATAGTAAATTTTACCCCCTCCCCAAGGGAGAACGGATAGGTCGGGGGTCCTGAAATTAACAATTTAAGTAAAGCCCCTGATGATTTTTCTTTCCATGCTGAGAAAATGACTGTAGTACCTCTGAGTCTGGAGAAGAAGATTTTTGAACTATTGATTAATTTTCCCTTTGGGCCCCGCCCTGGCCCCAGGGGTTGGGGCAGGAATCCCAATTTTACAATTTTGTAGCCTCATCTACCAAGGATGATTCTGACCAAGTTTGAAAAAAATCAATCCACTGGTTCTTGAGAAGAAATTGAAAATGTAAGAAGTTTATGCACGACGCACGACAGCCGAGGCACGACACACGGCAGACGACAATGGAAAGCGATTAGAATAGGTCACTTGAGCAAAGCTCAGGTGAGAGACACTATAATAGACTTAATCATCCAGACCAGACATTTCTATCAACATTTACAGGATAACACAGACCAGACTTTATTTTTAATGACACTGTCAGGATCACAATAGCAACACCTGTAACCCTTTCCCCCCATTTACTGGCATTATGTCAATTTCAACATTTTTCTATGCACATCTCATATTAAATATTTTAGCGACAGAATCACTCAGACCAGACTTCTAATTTCAACTGACCAAACACTAAAGCGATATAATTTTACTCTCAGTCCTATACTTGATGTCAAAGATCCTTACCTGAAGGGAGATCTTGGAGGCATCAAGAGACTTCTTGATGACAAGAAATCTGTCTGTACCCTCATTATGCTGTATCTCAACTACACTTTCACCGAGGTCTCGACGATGCATCACCTGGGTAGAGTTGTCCACCTGAAACAATAAAAAAAAACATCAGAACAATCATCAACATAGGTTATCAGCAATAATGATAGACAGGCTGGGGACCAACAATGATAGACAGGCTGGGGACCAACAATGATAGACACACTGGGGACCAACAATGATAGACACACTGGGGACCAACAATGATAGACACACTGGGGACCAACAATGATAGATCGGCTGGGGACCAACAATGATAGACAGGCTGGGACAAACAATGATAGATCGGCTGGGGACCAACAATGATAGACAGGCTGGGGAACAACAATGATAGACACGCTGGGGACCAACAATGATAGACACACTGGGGACCAACAATGATAGACATGCTGGGGACAAACAATAATAGACACGCTGGGGACCAACAATGATAGACCGACTGGGGACCAACAATAATAGACAAGCTGGAAACTAACAATGATAGACACACTGGGGACCAACAATGATAGACACACTGGGGACCAACAATGATAGACCGGCACGGGACCAACAATAATAGACACGCTGGAGACTAACAATGATAGACAGGCTGGGGACCAACAATGATAGACAGGCTGGGGACAAACAATGATAGACAGGCTGGGGACCAACAATAATAGACATGCTGGGGACCAACAATGATAGACAGGCTGGGGACCAACAATAATAGACAGGCTGGGGACCAACAATAATAGACACGCTGGGGACCATCAATTTGAGACCAACTGGTCAATGGGCAAGAATTTCGCATGGCAAAACTATTAATGTTTACAGTATGCTGTTGTTTTAAAGGTACCGTTGATGAACTGCAATGCATCTTTTAAACATCGATTTGTGACAGTATAAAAACACAGCTCCATGCAGTCATGCAGAATATGTTCAAGCAAACTGTAGTATACCATCATACTTGTTACAAAGATGCACTTCAATCCTTACACTTACAACTAAAACACAATGAAAATAGTAGTATTTCATCCTTCTCAATGGTTTCTTTTGTTTCAAAATGAATTATACAGATTTGCAAAATGGTAGAAATAGATATTTTTATAGGAACAAGAAGTGGGACTTACTATGTTAAGGACAGTGATCTTGCGAAGGCGGTGGAGGAACAGGAGGAGTGAAGGATGGATGTCATCAAACCGGGCTGCCAGAGAGCGAGAGTACGAACCCATCTCTTCTTTTAATGGAAGCACTATCTTAGTAGTCCAGCTAGAAACACAATTGAACAACATTTAATTTCTTTAATTTAAGATTTGGATTGAGAGAATTTTCAAATAACTGAAATTTCGTTTCAGTGGAAAGAATTTCTCGCAGTGAAAACTTTATAGAGATTTCTTATCCCCATAGAAACAGATACGTTTGTTGTAAACTAAAAGCTAATTTCCTCACTCATTGCCATCCTCCCAGGTGTCTGGATTCCAGTGGGGTAGTATGAATCCCATCGGGCCACTCTTCGCATCGAAGCAGATGTGGTAGCCATTAGAGTGAACTTCTGGCCGATTTGTCACACGGAACACGGACTTAAATCCTATACCCTTCTGACCTACAATAATTCAATGATACTGTACAACACAGGGATCCTACTGCTACACAACACTTTACAAGGGTGGATCAAGGTTAGCTTTGGCAAAAAGTTAGCTTTACACTTTCTCTTATCTTATTCCCTTTCAATATAATTCTTTTACAAAAATAAAAAGATAAAAATGTTCAGCCTTTCCATGCCTTACTTGTGCAGTCTATTTAGTACACATGCTCTTACCTATGTAGCCAAACGTGTGTTTTCCTTTAGTGCTTTTGCCCACATCACAAAGGGCACGAACGTTTTTCTCCTCGAAGCCACACTCATTGTTGAGGACAATGACAGAGTCTTGTCTCGTAATAAACTTCACGGAGGGACACACATCCTCGGTCATCATGTCGGGGTAGGTGTTGTCGTCAGCATTCTGAACCAGCTCCAACACAAAATGGGTATCTTTGCTGTATAGGTCCTTGGACAGTCGGTCTAGACTGCGCCCAAGTCTCTCCTGATGGACCTGCATCAGTCTCTGACCATCCTCATTGAGTTCTACTCCTACACCAAACTCATCACGACGTATACTGTCAATAATCTTTTGGCAATGTCGCTCCTGTTTTTCCTCTTCAGTCAAATTTTCCTCCTCCTCTTTGTTTATATGGTCTTCCTCGCCTTCAATCTCCTCAGATTTCTCCGTGACATCTGCAGCTGAAATATGAATAACGCTTCATATATTACTTATACAGGATAACATTAAACTAAAAATGTAACCCTTTTTTACCCCAAAAACAAATCAAAACTAAATCTGAAAATAAATAGATAGGAAAAATTCTGAGGTAGAATAAATTCATTGCAAAATGACAAATTTACATTTCAGTTTAAACTATCAACATGTACAAAAAAGGAAAATTTCTGAAGTAGAAATAAATCAGTGTAAAATGACATCTATACGTTTTAGTTTAGACTATCGACCAATTCTACGTTTTAGTTTCAACTATCGACCAACTCTATGTTTCAGTCTAGACTATCCACGCTTCAGTCTAAACTATCGACCAACTCTACGTTTCAGTCTATACTATCTACGTTTTAGTTTAGACTATCGACAAACTCTGCGTTTCAGTCTATACTATCTACGTTTTAGTTTAAACTATCGACAAACTCTGCGTTTCAGTCTATACTATCTACGTTTTAGTTTGAACTATCGACCAACTCTGTGTTTCAGTCTATACTATCTACGTTTTAGTTTAAACTATCGACCAACTCTGCGTTTCAGTCTATACTATCTACGTTTTAGTTTGAACTATCGACCAACTCTACGTTTCAGTCTATACTATCTACGTTTTAGTTTAAACTATCGACCAACTCTATGTTTCAATCTAGACTATCCACGCTTCAGTCTAAACTATCGACCAACTCTACATTTCAGTCTACACTATCGACCAACTCTGTGTTTCAGTCTACATTATATACGTTTCAGTCTAGACTATCGACCCACTCTACGTTTCAGTCTACATTATCTACGCTTCAGTCTAGACTTTCGACCAACTCTACGTTTCAGTCTAGACTATCGACCAACTCTGCGTTTTAGTCTATACTATCTACGTTTCAGTCTAGACTATCGACCAACTCTGCGTTTCAGTCTATACTATCTACATTTCAGTCTAGACTATCTACCAACTCTGCATTTCAGTCTATACTATCTACGTTTCAGTCTAGACTATCGACCAACTCTGCGACTCAGTCTATACTATCTACGTTTTAGTCTAGACTATCGACCAACTTTACGTTTCAGTCTAGACTATTGACCAACTCTGCGATTCAGTCTAGACTATCCGCAGGTACAGAAAGATGGCAGTGCCTCACCACTGTCTGTGTTCTGACTGTCCAAAGTGTCCTCCCCAACAACCTCTACTTCATCTATCACCACCACATCATCTGATTCCTTGTCAATCTTGTCCTTCTCCTCATCATCACTGGACAAGATGGAGGAAGCGTCATCAGACTCTTCATCAGACTCATCACTGTCTTCTTCAACCTGAAATGTAGAAAAGTGCCATGTGCAGGAAATGTTGAAGATTTAATGCCTACTTTTTGTATACTTTAAGTGTTCACATTTTAGGGCCAGTCCTATATTAGCATGTTTTGCTCATTAAAAATGGTTTTAAATCATGATGGCACTATTTAATGATTCTGGAAGTTGTCATCTATAGCATATATTGTGAGTGCATTACTTAAACTTTGATAATGAGCTTGAATATGAATGCACTGAAAAAGGAAAGTCTACAATATCAAAAAAGATTTTTACATGTTAATAATAAATACACATACACACTATTAAGTCTATTTCTGGCCTCACATTACTGAATGAAGTATAAGAATGCTTATTTCTTTTAAACATTAGATTTAAATTGCAAAATACCTGGTCTGTTGTTCCAAAGAACTCCTGTGCCTCATCAGTTGGGATGTTCTCTATGGCGTCTATGGGCAGGGAACACTTGGCCTGGATCTGCCGAGTCCATTCATCAATGCCCAAGAGACAACCAAGCACCTGCAACCGGTTCCTCTCGTACACACTTTGACATGCCCCCAAGAGCAGTGACTTGGACTTGGTTGACCCCACAACATGTCCAAGTGGGTCAAGGAACACCTGAATGGAAATAGCGTAATATGGTCAGTGTGTTCTAACACTGTAGAGGTGACTTAACAAAGAACACCACATGTCCAAAACAAAATTATAGAGGCATTACAGACAGACAGACACATTGATTACTATCTGTCCATGGTAGGAGAAAAAGAAATTCTACACAGGTAAACCATGGAAAGGTCTATCCAAAGTATTACAACACAAACTTGCACCTTATAGGTGTGCTCTCACCTTATCAGCCAGGGTCACACAGCTACGGATAGGCAGCTTCATCAAACAGGCCAGTACAAACACCACAGCTGCATCAGCAGATCTACCCATAGGGGGCGCTCCTGAAACAGAAGGACATATGTCACTCCAAACAACGAATTTACAGCCAAAAATATTTATGTATGATACATGATATTTTATATATATATTAAATTTCATGATCACCTAACTTAGGTCAAAATATACATATTTCGATTTTTGTTTATGTATAACTATAAGCTCTGGTTATGCTAATCAAAATGAAATAATTATTGAATTCAACTTGTAATACCTATTTCATCTTACATGGTTGTAGATCCTAGAGTTATCTACCTACACAAAAATTCAGCTTTTTAACATCAAGATCAGATATTTGTTTTATTGAAGCTAATGCCTCTTTTATCTTCCACCGGATGTATGATTTTATCAGTGTGAAATAATTTCCATGATATAACAGAAATCTGGCCATTGAAGATTTGGGTTAGCGAAGTATGTCATGATGTCAACTATTCATTATAGGATACAAATATTTCCTGTTATTACTTTCAGAGTCTTGCACAGTAATCATATCTTACTATGGTGTGTGTATGGTTACACTATGAGCCTCGAATAGGACACTTATCCTACCTGGGAGGGTGTGGCTGCTCTCCGCGCCTTGCATTGTAAACAGGGCTGTCTTCAGGTGGTTGGTCAGAAGGGCCAGAGGAGTGTTGTCCAGGCCTCTATTCATCACAACCATGGACATCAAGTGACCACACACCCCTGTCACATTACGGTCCATCAGGGATCGCTCAAAAACATCTGGTGAAGTCTGACTTGTGAGTTTGAGAAATTTGCCTGGATTAGTCTCAATCGCAAGGACATCGGTTGTCATGAGACGCTTGCCTGAAAAGAGAGAATAAAATGTTTTTAAGAAAGACCTATTTCAAAACTTGATCAAAAATATAATGCAAGACAATATAGGAAAATAGGAAAGTTGCTTTCCCCCCCCCCCACCCCCACCCCTGTGTAAATCAATGCTTCCTATCATATATGACAGTTAACTCTAAACAGAAAACACCAATAAATAGCATCAGCGATTTTACAACAACCTGTTCATAAATGATTTGGGAAAATATAACATTATTAATATTAGGAAGATACTACTCATTTTGGGAAATCACAGCACCGTTTTGCTAGGGAAAGCAGCCTGTATTTGGCAGTAAAACCAGGCGAAAAAGTCGTTGAGCACGTATATGCACCCACTTACCATCATCAATGTTTGAGATGTGAGATCCACCGTATTTCTGTAGAAAGTCCTTCAGTTTGCCATGCTCTGGTTCGAACACCAGCGCCCACTGGCTCCAGTCTGCCAGGTCTTCCAGCAGAGGGCAGTTGTGTAGACAGGCCAGAGCTGTCTCCCTTGCCTGGTGACCAAGAATACCAACCTGGCCTCGTGGTGTCATACTGTTCAAAAGAAAGACATATATTTCATTAAATCTTATAAAACATGCATATGGTAGGTATCAGGTTGGTAATCAAAATAGAAAAATCACTCCAGGAAATTGTCAAATTTATTGTGAGCTACTTGTCACGAACTACCAGTACCTCCTAATGTGTTGCAAAAATACCCAAAGCCTTCATGATACCAGGTGAGCTACTTGTGACATCAGGAATACCAGTTATTAGGGGAGTTATTCATAAAGCAGGAAAGTTAACTGTATCACTGGGGGAATAACATGTGAAAGGAGGCGAGTAACAGGTGATACTAGGAGGAGTCATATGTGATACATGGGGAATTACCCGTGAAAGCAGATGTGTTACCTGTGATACAATTGGATTTACCTGTGATACCAGGGAGTTACCTGTGATTAAAGTTGAGTTACCTGTGATACCAAGTTAGTTACCTGTAATTGCAGCCAAGAGCTGACTCGTATACCACTGTGTGTTCCTTGGACTGGTGTTTGCCTGGCCGTTCACTCTCTGTGCGGAGACGACCAATATTTCCGTACCCAAGCTGCTTTGGTTCCCTCACACTGAACTGTTGACATATGGCCTTCACCAAATCCTCATTCTAAGGACGAAAGTGTTTTTAACAGTGTACATTAACTAGATTATTGATGTGAAGAAAAATTGTTCACTCAAAACATTTTCTGACAATCAGCTTTAGATAACTAACACATGGGATATCTGTTTACTCCTTCTCCAAGTGGTAGCATCATTAAATGCACTAATCTTACACATGGGATGAAAGTTTCCTCAGGACCAGACTCCTACAAGCTAGTTATTTGATCATGTTTCTATTAGTATTGATAATGGCCAAAGCAGGCACCTTGGGTGAAGAGGATTGATAGGGTTATCATGTTTTGCCCATTCTCATCACTAAATTTTCAAGGCGAAAAAATAAAAAATAAACCAAATTTCCTTCAGTACAAACAATAAATTAGATAAGAGTGATAACCAGTCATGAATCATGAGGGAACCTTTTTGTGTTGAAATTAAAGATATTACATATATAGCCAATGAATTGTCGGATTTTAACAGGTTAAAGGTAAACTGTTCATCCTGATCTGTAATGACCTTGGAATTTACCTTGGTATTGACCTTTGTAAATGACAATCGATTTTTGTCTATGAAAAAGAAAACTCTTTATAATTCATAAAAACCCTATAAAATTCATAACGATAAAGAAGTACCTGTTCTAAGCCACACTGTCGACACTGATGCATGAACTCCAGAACCTCCGACTTTTGTGCTCTGTACACGGAGTCGCTGTCCCCGCCAGATACTCCCATGCCAATCGTCATCCCTCCACACTCATCCAGAAACTGTCAACAAACAACATAATACAGTGCAAAATTATCAGGCAAAAATAAAACAATTTCACAAAAATATTAAGCTTTTCATTACATTAAATTTTTCCCGGAAAAAATACTCAATCCTCTTAAAATTTCACTCAGAGCTTGGAATTTCATTAGATTTCTTTCAAAAACTCCCCAGATCTGAAAACTTATATTTCTATTATGTGTAAAATTTCAGTCATTTAAGTGTTAAAAGTGTAATCAAATACAGTAAGGTGGGAATGATTCCATGTACAACTAAACTACATAGATCAGACGTCCATTTCATCATCACACTATCATGCTTTCAGATATGTAAAGTTAATGTGTTAGAATTCAATGGGATTTTGTTGTGATACTCATTTGATGTGGCATTGACAATAACTGCTTTTTACTTTTAAATTTGTCTGAAATAGTTTTCATGTTTTTCTTCAAGAATCTATGAATTACTTTTAAAACTTGTTGGATTAATATTTGCATCTGCGGAAAAGATCGCGGTATTCATCCCAATCAAATTATCAGTCAAGGATTTCCCTCTTTTTATATACATTTATTTTCTATGATTAATATTTTACATTCATATCTTAAATATCCATGATGGTATGAAACACAGTTGTTTACTTATATTTTCTGTGATGCACAGTAGTAGAAAACTGTCCCTGGAATATGACTTTTGGCTTAACTGAATATAATTTTGTATCCCCTGGAATTTGTTTTTAAGACTTTCTTGATGATCCATATAAAATGAAAAAGCAAAACCTTGGTCTAAGTTGTAAAATCTAAGCTGAGGCCCAAAAACCACCTACCGACTTGGCTTCCTTGGTGACAAACTCCAGGAAGCGGCCGAGCCCCATGGCAACAAAACTGGGAAACTTGAAGTCGTCAGCTAGCTTCTCTTCAATCATATCCATGTGGGACAGTTTTAGAGATCCATGCCCTAAACAACGCTCCAGGTACTTCTTCAAACTCTCAATTACTACCTCTACAAAACAAGACACGAGGTCTGTAAATGTGATGGAAGTTTAAAATGTTTGTGTACATGTAAACCAGCAGTGGAGGCTATGGTGTAAAGAAATATGGAATCAGTTCTATGAAATATGGTTGAAAATGTGTTAATCATCATTTAAAGATCTTGTAGCTTTGACCTTGATCTTATTTGACCTTGACCTTCAGCTGGTCTCCAACGATCAGTGTCAGGAATGATTATGTGAAAGATTCTGTATCTGTGACATTGTACTTTAACATATGACCTTGAGTTTCAACTGGATTCTAGAGAATGATGTCAGGGGATTATATGCTCTGACATTAAATGCCTTAATTAGATTACCCATGCTTCCTTCCCTCTCCCAGACCACTGATAATGAATATTTTCTTGAGGGTCTGCCCCTACCCTCTTCCAGGCTCCTGACAGTCTATACCTTCTGTGGGGGTGTACCTGTTCCGTACCCTTTCCCTGGCCACTGACAATTTAGACATTTATTTAAGGATGCCTCCTGCCCCTATCCTATTTCCCATGCCCCTCACAGTTTATACCTTTCTTAGGGGGTTGCTTTTGTTCCTGATCCTGTTTTGTGTCGCCCTGGTCCTGGTTTTCTGTAGATGGAGCCAGTAGCTCACAGGCTGCCTCCTCTAGAACAGTATTGCTGACACACAGTGCAAGGTGAAACAGCTTTGCTCCCAAGGTGTCCTGGTTGACCACCAGTAAAAAGTCAGACACTGCTTTCTGAAACTGGGCAAACTGGCGCTTCTCAACTTTTGAAAATGGTTGTTCCAAATGGGTGATCAATTGAAACTTCTGAAATATTTCCATGACAGCTGTTTCTGGTCGGAGCAGTAGGTAGTGCTGTCGTACTTGCAGGGACGAGTCACCAGAAGGCTGCAGAATGGAGGCACGGAACTTTTGGAAGGCTTGCTGTATTTGCTGCCTCAATTCCTCTTTAAATCCTTCATGAATGGCTCTTCTACTTGATGAAGCATCACGCTGGGCTTTCTTCAGAACCTAATTGAAGTAACAGCAGCATATATGATTAATTTGTTAAATAAACCAGTCAGAAAAACACCTTATAAATGTCCCAACGAAAGTTTTTTTTTACTTTTCGTAATCTAAACTTTAAGCCAAAGGCTGGAAAAAATATGATAAATAAATTAGAAACAGTACGCTTGATAGATCTGAGACAAGTTGTCATAAGAAGACTTGTATGCTCAAATAGGGCAACAACTCCTTATATGGAAATACACTTTAGAGTTAACGACTCTCTTGCACACTGATCTATCTCATTAAGTTTCAGTAAAATGTATGCATTACAAATTGAAATACAAATACAGACAGTTTTAACTCCACAATAACTGAAATGTAAAATAAATTGCACAGTTAACAGCTGTGCTCTTCATACTATTAAAATGTACCTAACTTTGTCACAGTAGGAATTAATAACAAGGAATGAAGTTTGATGTTTACCATTGCAGCAAGAGGGAGACTACGAAGTCTAACCCCAAGCATGTAGGCATTGTCCGCAGCGTAGGCCTCGACCAGGTGGTCCATGAACTCCTCCATGACCAAACGTTCTGTCCACTTGTTGTGCTTTGTCATGAAACTGCGTAGTTGTTCAAGGACGTCCATACTCGTGATCTCAGGAATGTCTGCCAAGTCAGTGGGGAACTTGAACAGTCTATACACCTCTGGCATACGCTGCAAGGGGCCAAACTTGAACGAAGCGAAATCCTCCTTGTCTGGAGCGTACTCTAGTAGACACTGGTTCAGTTCATAAAGGGTACAAATCGATCTTGTCTTCACGAAAGCCTGGATGTAGGCATTGACCTTTGCAATAGAACGATTAAATTCATTTATGCAATTGATGTTCTCTAAATACCTTATTCCAAGACTATTGATGTTATTTGTATTAAACCTTCTTTTGATGAGGTCCTCCACCCTGTGGAGAGAGACGTATTGGTTAGCCTCTGCCAAAATCTCGATACATTCCCGAGCGGCATTTTCCAGTATATCACGCGGAGGTTGTCTGCGTCCGTCATACCCTCTTATGGCTGTCACCTTAATCTCCCTTTCCTCAAATTCCCGTCGGCTGATTGGCGCCACGGAGGTCTCGGTGAGATCGATCACGCGACCACCTGGATGTGGACCTGCTGGCATCACTTGTGGTCTTTGTGGCTGCACAGGTATACTGGCTGGCTGTACAAGTTGTTGAGGTGACATAGAGACAGACCTCTCACTTGGAGAACAACTGATGAAGTTTTTGCTATAGAGATCTGCCTGCTCTTTAGTGAGGTCAATAAATGGCCCAGTGTTCTTTGACGATTGTGATGCATCTGTTAGATCAATGACTTCCCTGCCAGGTGATCGGAATCTTTTGTGCTTGCCTCCCTGTGTTGTCCCCTGCACACTACTGCTGGAACTGGCCATAGACTCTACTGAGCTGGTGGATGAAGACCGTTCACGACGGAGCTGACTTAATGTGTGGCTCTGTACTCCCTGGCCCCAAGAAAGGCCAAAGGTAGGCATCGGGGCCTGATCTTTCAATTTGAGAAAAGGTATCTCATCTTTCTCATACTCTACAATTTCTGGAAATTCTGTTAACACATGTGTCAGTTTAGTAACACCATAATCCTTTGCACCTGGTTGGTTATGATAATATGTCTTGTATACCCTCCAGATTTCAGTCTTCTTTATTCCCTGTGGAAAGTTTTTAAGAAGAGATATCAAATTTTTCTTTAACAGTTCCTTTCTTGAATCCATCGATGATGGATTCTTCTTCTGTGAGGTTGGGGACACTAAAGATGGAAAGTCTTTTTCATCTAAATCCATGTTCTGATCAGTCCCATGTTTAGGAATGCTATGCTGGGAGGTTTTATGCTGGGGAGGTTCTGGCACTTGAAAACCTTGTTGGATAGGCCGTACAGATTGGACAAACACAAGTGGCTGCCGTACGTAGGGACCCAACGGGAGGAGGCAGTCTCCAAAACCCTGGACGGGCATTGGCAATATGTTACCAGTACCTACAACAGACCAGCTTATAAAATCATCACAACACACATGTCACAAAAAATGTATAAATATTGTATAGATAGAACATCAAAAATATGAGATCAATTGTTTAGGACTTAATGGAGGTAAGTCCTAATCAATCGATCTCACATTCCAGTGAGTTAATTCTAAAAGAATGCAGGTGGAACTAGACAATTAACTAGTGTATATAAAAATAGTCCCATAATAAACCTTAAGGATCTCTGCCCCACTGTACTGTGCTTTTTCAGTAATGTTCCGTTAATTTTGTATTGAACACGACTATAGCATAGTTGGATCAGAACCATTCCTTTGACTAATGCTAAGTAGCTTAGTTGGCTAAAGAAAGTATAACAATCTAAGTTCCATGGTTCCATGGTTCGAGAGTATAACAATCTAAGTTCCATGGTTCAAGTTACAACAATATAAGTTCCATGGTTCGAGATTATAACAATCTAAGTTCCATGGTTTAAGAGTATAACAATCTAAGTTCAATGGTTCGAGATTACAACAATATAAGTTCCATGGTTCGAGATTATAACAATCTAAGTTCAATGGTTCGAGATTATAACAATCTAAGTTCCATGGTTCCATGGTTCGAGATTATAACAATCTAAGTTCCATGGTTCGAAATTATAACAATCTAAGTTCCATGGTTTAAGAGTATAACAATCTAAGTTCCATGGTTCAAGATTACAACAATATAAGTTCCATGGTTCGAGATTATAACAATCTAAGTTCAATGGTTCGAGATTATTACAATATAAGTTCCATGGTTCCATGGTTTAAGATTATAACAATCTAAGTTCCATGGTTCGAGATTATAACAATCTAAGTTCCATGGTTCGAGATTATAACAATCTAAGTTCCATGGTTTGAGATATAACAATCTAAGTTCCATGGTTCGAGATTATAACAATCTAAGTTCAATGGTTTGAGATATAACAATCTTAAGTTCAATGGTTCGAGATTATAACAATCTAAGTTCAATGGTTCGAGATTTTAACAATCTTAGCTCCATGGTTCGAGATTATAACAATCAAAAGTTCCATGGTTCGAGATTATAACCATCTCAGTTCCATGGTTCGAATCCCGGTGTAGCCCGGGTGAGTTTTTACACTCAGAAGACTTGATGATAATGATTTGCTTATTTCACCTAATTTAATCTCAGAAAGTCTGTCAAGGTATGGTCTTCTTTTCAGATATGGTTTAATTTATCAAAACAAGTTGTGACGGAAAAACAGTTTCCAGTGCCTAGTTTTTGGCAGTGGTACAGGGATACTTAATGAGTTTGATATTAGGTAGCTCCACACGAAAGTAGACAAATTTGAGGCTATTTTACACCTTGAATTCATCCAAAAAGTATACTATATCACCGGAGCGACGACACCTTAATTTAAAGCAGTAATGTGAGAGATTAGTACAAATATCTATCATCGATCGGTTTACTACTTCCAATTACAAACTGATTATCGATTATGATTTTAAACCCATTGCCCATCACTAGTTTACATATAGGATGTATGTACCTGAACGATTGCCTGCTACCCTCCCTGGCTGATTGCCCTTCACTGGTTTACCTTTAGGATGTATGTACCTGGACGACTGCCTGCTTCCCTCCCTGGCTGATTGCCCATCTCTAGTTTACATATAGGATGTATGTACCTTGACGACTGCCTGCTACCCTCCCTGGCTGATTGCCCTTCACTGGTTTACCTATAGGATGTATGTACCTGGACGACTGCCTGCTACGTACCCTCCCTGGCTGATTGCCCTTCACTAGCTTACCTATAGGATGTATGTACCTGGACGACTGCCTGCTTCCCTCCCTGGCTGATTGCCCTTCACTGGTTTGCCTATAGGATGTATGTACCTGGACGACTGCCTGCTATCCTCCCTGGCTGATTGCCCATCACTAGCTTACCTATAGATTGTATGTACCTTGACGACTGCCTGCTACCCTCCCTGGCTGATTGTCCTTCACTGGTTTACCTTTAGGATGTATGTACCTGGACGACTGCCTGCTCCCCTCCCTGGCTGATTGCCCATCACTAGTTTACATATAGGATGTATGTACCTGGACGATTGCCTGCTACCCTCCGTGGCTGATTGCCCATCACTAGTTTACCTATAGTATGTATGTACCTGAACGATTGCCTGCTACCCTCCCTGGCTGATTGCCCTTCACTGGTTTACCTATAGGATGTATGTCCCTGGACGACTGCGTGCTACCCTCCCTGGCTGATTGCCCTTCACTGGTTTACCTATAGGATGTATGTCCCTGGACGATTGCCTGCTTCCCTCCCTGGCTGATTGCCCATCACTAGTTTACCTAGGATGTATGTACCTGGACGACTGCCTGCTTCCCTCCCTGGCTGATTGCCCATCACTAGTTTACCTAGGATGTATGTACCTGGACGACTGCCTGCTCCCCTCCCTGGCTGATTGCCCATCACTAGTTTACCTATAGATTGTATGTACCTGGACGACTGCCTGCTGCCCTCCCTGGCTGATTGCCCATCACTAGTTTACCTAGGATGTATGTACCTGGACGACTGCCTGCTCCCCTCCCTGGCTGATTGCCCATCACAAGTTTACCTATAAATTGTATGTACCTGGACGACTCCCTGCTACCCTCCCTGGCTGATTGCCCATCACAAGTTTACCTATAGATTGTATGTACCTGGACGACTGCCTGCTGCCCTCCCTGGCTGATTGCCCATCACTAGTTTACATATAGGATGTATGTACCTGGACGACTGCCTGTTACCCTCCCTGGCTGATTGCCCATCACTAGTTTACCTAGGATGTATGTACCTGGACGACTGCCTGCTCCCCTCCCTGGCTGATTGCCCATCACAAGTTTACCTATAGATTGTATGTACCCGGACGACTGCCTGCTACCCTCCCTGGCTGATTGCACATCACTAGTTTACCTATAGGATGTATGTACCTGGACGATTGCCTGCTACCCTCCGTGGCTGATTGCCCATCACTAGTTTACCTATAGATTGTATGTACCTGGACGACTGCCTGCTTCCCTCCCTGGCTGATTGCCCATCACTAGTTTACCTAGGATGTATGTACCTGGACGACTGCCTGCTCCCCTCCCTGGCTGATTGCCCATCACAAGTTTACCTATAGCTTGTATGTACCTGGACGACTGCCTGCTACCCTCCCCGGCTGATTGCCCATCACGAGTTTACCTATAGGATACTTCACTGGTTTACCTTTAGGATGTATGTACCTGGACGACTGCCTGCTTCCCTCCCTGGCTGATTGCCCTTCACTGGTTTACCTATAGGATGTATGTCCCTGGACGACTGCGTGCTACCCTCCCTGGCTGATTGCCCTTCACTGGTTTGCCTATAGGATGTATGTACCTGGACGACTGCCTGCTCCCCTCCCTGGCTGATTGCCCATCACTAGTTTACTTATAGGATGTATGTACCTGGACGACTGCCTGCTCCCCTCCCTGGCTGATTGCCCATCACTAGTTTACCTAGGATGTATGTACCTGGACGACTGCCTGCTCCCCTCCCTGGCTGATTGCCCATCACAAGTTTACCTATAGATTGTATGTTCCTGGACGACTGCCTGCTACCCTCCCTGGCTGATTGCCCTCCACTGGTTTACCTATAGGATGTATGTACCTGGACGATTGCCTGCTACCCTCCTTGGCTGATTGCCCATCACTAGTTTACCTATAGATTGTATGTACCTGGACGACTGCCTGCTACCCTCCCTGGCTGATTGCCCATCACGAGTTTACCTATAGGATATACCGTAAAAACCCATGTAATTTGCGCACTTTTTTTTCAGAAATTTAATACCCAAAGTGGGGGGTGCGTAAAATACACAGGTATAGAAATATTCAAGTTTTTTTCAGGAAAAGATCGACGATTCTGAGAGATCGCCATATTGGATTATGTCCCTTGGTACACGGAACTCTAAGACAAATGACTGTCAACAAATTTATTTATGTCAAACATTAATAAAAGATACATAATGTGTTGTTATGTGAGTTTATGTGAAAAGTATTAATAAATAGGTAACCGTTAACTAAGAATCGCCGATCAACTTACGACATTACGTTTCGACATCTCGGTGCGTTTCCCCACACTATTACGAAAATGTAGTTGTTCAATTTAAGCTCCGTTCTATGTAAGTTCTGTAAGTTTTTTCAAATCGCCTATGTGTATACGTATAGCATGGTTTTTTTCCGGCTCACTTTCTTGTTGATCTCGCGTCTAACATTACGTAAACACGTGATTGATAATAACCTCGTGAATTATTTCAATATTTATTAAATGAAGCATCGTAAAAATAGTCTGCGTTAACTATTTTTTTCCTTGGAGTAGATTTGAAGAGGATGTATTGATTGTCCACGCTTCTAGTATAAACCTATTTTTTTATAATCTCTTATCAGTCAAATCAGTCTGTAGTTATGACAATGCAGTAGGGCTTCGTAATTCACGCCACGTGTTGGCGAGTGAAAAAACAACAACACGGTCCGTCGATCGCGACTGCAAATCATTTCAATTAGTAGAGCTATTGTTAACGGGTAATC